TGCACCATCACCTCAGTCCCCTGTGCTCCTCCCTCCCTCTCTCTGATCCCTCTCCTGCCTCCTCCTCTATAGTATGTCTGATTTATAATTGTCCCTTTTTGTTTTGTTGCGTTTTGTACTGTTATTATTTTTTTACACTGATGTCTTATTTGGTTCCCCTATATTCCTGCTATAAGTAAAACCATCCAATATTTTTCTTTTTCTTTCTGGCTTATTTCACTGAGCATAATTCCTTCTAGTTCCATCCACATTGCTGTGAATGGCATGAGTTTATCTTTTTTGATTGCTGAATAAAATTCCCTTGTGTATATATGCCACGTCTTCTTGATCCAGTCATCTATATTTGGGCATTTGGGTTGTTTCCAGGTTTTACCTATTGTCAATCGTGCTGCAATAAATATAGGTGTACAGGTGTTCTTTTGAATCAATGTTTTTGTGTCCTTTGGGTAGATCCCTAGTAGTGGAATTGCTGGGGCGTATGGTAGCTCCTTTTTAGTAGACTGAGGAACCTCCAGACAGCTTTCCGTAGTGGTTGGACCAGTTTGCACTCCCACCAGCAATGTAGGAGAGTTCCTTTTCACATCCTTGCCAACATTTGTTGTTGCTTCTAACAAACAATTCTTTAGCCAAGTCTGAATATGTATTTGACAGTAAAAAACTCAGAATGAAGTTACCTTATGAATATGAAACATCAATTATAGAAATAAGGATAATGGCGGGGAGACAAAAATATATGAAAAGGAAAAATGCCATATATGATATATATATGTAAAATATGTATATATGTAAAGAGAAGTACTGGTAAGATATAAACTGAAGCAATGTGTGATATAAAAACTAAGAATTAAGAAAATTAGGATATTTAAAAACTCCAAACTCAGTTGTCACCATGAACATATCTATTTCTACAAATGTTCCTAAAGAATTGAGATATTCTTTTGTTATTGGTAAAATAGCATGTAGTATTTTGAATTATAGAGTCTGCTGGAAATTTTAATAGTTTAACAAATACAGTAACTGGATTCCTCACCTTTCTGAGAATTAAATAAAACAAAAGGCCTGTTTCAGATACAGAAAGAACATAGTTACATAGTTCACCTCAGGCACTTGGCACAAACACACGGAATGTGTCCAAAGCAAATGCATCAAAAGAGTGTGAAGAGTTTGTATCCATAGAATTGACATGTGATCATTCTGAGTCCAAATTCAGGATGTGTTTATCCAGAAAAAGCAGTACTGGCAGATTTCTTTTTCCTTCATTAAGCAATGATCTCTTACAGAACAATGCATTCCTTACAGCAGCTGCCTCATCTTTGAAACCACAAGTTTAGAAATGCTGATGACAATGGAAATGTTTAGGCTCTAGGACCAAGTTCCCATGAACACATATAATAGCCTATGGAACATGAGCAATGCACAAACACAAATAGAGAAAAAAAATCTCTGATGGCACTGCATCCTATGTGTTTTTGTGAATTTATATTTGTTTGGGCAAAAAAGGTCACATGCCATACATAACCTTATTTCTTGTTAGTCACTTAGCTCACACACATATGTGCATATAAATACACACATAACTGACTGTTGCTTTCTTTAAAGTGATGGACTTCCACAGACTGGTGGCATTCTCTAGAAGATCACATAAAGAAGTAAAACCATATTCAAGTCTACTTTGAAATATTAAATTATGGAATTCATATGTCATTATCAACATATCTTCCAACTTCTGAACCCATGGATATTATTTATGTTTTGGTTCAGTGATACAAAGTAATTTTCTGAGTTACAAACCCCAAATCAACTGATAGAAAAGCAGTTAGTAGAGATTCTGTAGAAGTGAGATCCAGGTGGGTGAGGGTTCTTTAATTCCTTAATCTACTTCAGCTATAATAGATTGCATCAAAAGTAATGTACTCATTAACTTAAATGCCCCTTCTCCCTTTATTATGTACAAGTAAATACAAGGATTAAAATTGGTTTGACTTTATACCAAAAAACAGAACAGCGCTATTTGTAAGAATACTGACTAGTAGAAGAAATATTGTTTTAAAAAAATTTGTTTTACAAAGCACTGCAGTATAGTGTATTTAATCACTATGCTCCTTTTCATAATTAAAAATATAATTAGATAAATTTTAGTTTGATAATTAGTATCTCCAAAAAAATTGAGACACAATCTTATTTTACAAACTTAATTGTTCCTAATAATATGACAACCAGTATATCCTATGCACAGTTAGTATCAGTGCTTAGATTGAAAACAAAATTTATCAAAAGTCATCATTGTGGTTGCATCCTATAACTCCCCAAACCTATATACAAAATGCTTAAGCATTACAGAGACCTTATACAGGTAAGAGGATATGATTATTTAACAACTTACTCATTCTGTTTCTGAGGCACTGAATCAATACTTTTACTCAGTAAAACAGCACAGAGACAAATTTTCGTTACATGCATTGGGTAGAGATAACCCAAGATCATAGATAATTAAACACAATTTTTATTTAGTTTTGAAATATTTTGTTACATAAAGTGAAATGTGCCAACTTAATACTCTATACATTTATAATAAAAAATATATATATACACACACACAGTGACAAGCTGGAAAAATATCAACTTTTCTCAATGCGTGAAGTTATTCCTTAAACAAGAGTATTTTGATGAGTTTGAAATAGTTGTACCATCCTATATGTTAATGCCTTCTCTGAATTGGAAGAAATGAGGTATTTTATTTAAATTTTACACTGAAGGGTGAGTTGCATAGACTTAAACTAGGTTGTGACAACTTTACAACACATGTCACAATATTGAAATTGCTGGCTTGTTCACTATTTTACTGGATATTAAATACCTTGAGTGCTATGACTGCTTTTTTTGTAGTACCTCAACAAAATTTGACTAGTATATATATCTATATGTGTATATATATATATATATATATATGAATAAATGATATTAACAAAAAGTTGAAGATAAAAATTTAATTTAGCTTTCATTAACTGTAAAATATGAAAAGAGAACCACAGGATCTGGGCTCAAACTTACTTTAGCACAAATTTTGTTATTTTTAACCTCCACCTCAATGAGGCTGTTTTTTCAACTGAATAAAAGAGGTAACACCTGATCTATGTATTTTAGAGTAGCTGTAAAGATAAACTGAAGGTCCTTTGTAATTACCAAAAAATGTAGTTTTCTAATGTTCTATAGCATATTCATCTAGGAAACATATGAAATAGTCCTTTAAAAATGCAATGTGATAACTCACATATATTAAAATATACACCACCATATATCAATTTTTTCAAATGAAAAATAGCTGAACTCCTTTACTCAGCCTATAAATAAAATTAAAACTACTCATCTGAAAAAGAATCCCTTCCTTCAAGCTACAGGCCCCAGTACTTTACTTACTCTCATAAATACTGTCAAAGAGTTGACACCTATATATCCTCTTCCTGGACATGCTGAAATCTGACCCCACTGCCACTGCCTGAAGAACATCCCAATGTGGCTATTAACCCATTAACTTCTTCTTAGTCCTCATTTTATCTCTGAAGATTTCTTTTTGTATTGCTGTCACATCTACACTGGCCTCTTTCTTCAAAATGGTATCCTTTATTTTTTCCTTTCTTCTATGAATAATCTTTTTACTAGTCCGTTTTCTGTTCTCCAAATGCAGGTGTTACATGAGGTTTTATCCTTGCATCTCTTTTTCTTTTCTCTCCCTCTATTTCTGCTAGATGATCCAACCTACTCCAATACACTTGGCATCATCTGTCTTGCCAACTTCTAATACTGTGTCTTTTCCAGGTTCCCTCATAAGTCCCAGGTTCACATTTATAGTTGTTGACTAAGTATTTCCATCTGGATGTAGTACAGTCTCTGTATCAAATTCATTCTTTTCCCCTCACCTCAAACCTCCCCCTTCCTTTGCTGCCACTGTGGTGGTCAGCCAAGTCATCTTCAATGACTTCTCCATTCTCTGTCCCTCTCACCTTTATCATTTATTAACAGGATCTATTGATTCTACCTCTGAAATGTACCTGTAATCCATCTATCCTTTTCTCCATTTTAATTTCTGCTGCCCTAATTCCGGCTTCATTACTACTTTTTGAAGCAATCTGACTGCTTCTTAGTTTCTCTAGTCTTTCATAATTTAAATACAGCCCTGTTAAATATACCATGGAAATTAAAAAGCTCCCCTGCTTTTTATGCCTACTCTTTGCCTAGAAAATAAACTCCCAACCCTTGGACATGGCATCCGAGACCCTTACTACTCTCTTTCCAACCTGTTTTTCTAGTAACTCCTGCCCACACCCTTCTCTTTCTAGAACAGTTCCTTCCCTTAGTTTATGGTACTCCTTCTATTGTTAAGGTTGTTTTCATCTGTTAAAAGCCTGGTACATCTTTTGGGTTTATGTGATTAGTCATGTTCTCTGCAAATGATATATGATACACTCTCTATTCTGCTTTTCAGATATAATTTCCTTGTATTCTTCAACTGCTATTAAAGTGTTAGAAGTGTTTTTCTCCACTGTATTTGATTCAAGAGGAAAAGCCTTAATCATTTTTTTCACCTATGCTTCCAATGTTTGACAAACAGAGACTTCACAATAAACACTGAACTAAACAGACCTGTTCCTGATTCTAACATTCAGAATAATAAGAAACCCTCACAAGAAACCCTCAGTATTATCTAATATTTTGGCTAAGAAATATATTCCTCTAGTTAATTAGAGAATAATTAACTTTAAAATACCAGCTTCCTGATAGTTTATTATATTTAATAAACAACAAACTTTAAGAATATTCCTCATCTATATAACACATAAGCTGTATCACACTGATTTTTTTTGTCAGTTATTGTTAGAATCAAATAAAAAAATCATTTATCTTTGGATAACAGTGAAAGTGTACCCTAAAGACGAATTATCATTGTAATCCTTTCAGCTTTAAGTAAACCAAACAGCTAAATTCTCTCGCTGTCAGTTTGGAAAGAAGCAGGAAACAGGCAAAAATCCAGTCCAGTTTCTGAAAAAAAAATCAAATATGAGACACTTGTGCTATTAGAGTATCAAGGAAAGGATCATTAAGTCTTAAAGAGTAAAAGACACTGTGAAAGCTAAAAATAATATTAATTAGGTAAACAGTACCCTTAAGAAAAAATCAGATATATGCTAAAGGATATATGCTAAATTACTGTCATGAAATATTTTTGTATGACTCTAACATAACGATCTCTAATAAACACACAGTTAATGAAATGACATTCAGTGTTGCCCTATGACTGTAGACCAGGTATCAGCAAACTGCAGCCTGTGGGCCAAACCTGTGGTTTAATAAATAACTTTTATTGAAACATAGCTATGCTCATTTGTATTGCTCTTGTCTGCGTTTGTTCTACATGGTAGAGTTGAGTAATTAAGAGAGTGACTGTATGTCCTACAAAGCCTCAAATATTTATGAGTTGGCCCTTAAGGAAGATTGGCCAACTCATGCTATAATCAGATGGAATCTAGTTGAAAACCAAATTAGTTTGTATATGTGAGGGTTTCTTATTATTCTGAATGTTAGAATCGTTATGCAGAGATTTCTTTCCAAGAATCACAAGATTAGCAAAAAGAGAGGTAGTAGGAAATGTACAGATATCAAGTACATAGGAGAGATAAATAGCATACAGACAGGATCTGTAAAAGATAAATTATTTTAGTTTTATACTTCTAATAATGCCTGCCTAATTATTCTTCATTAACTAGGAAAAAGGAGTGACTCTTCTCTATATTACAATATGTCACTGAATATTAAATTTCTACCACTATTCACTAAAAAGTAGAAATAGTTCTTCCTATAGGAATAAAGAAGTAAAAAAATATACTTATTTTTTAAAATGAGGGGAGGGAAAGATGGAAAGAGGAAGAAGAACAGAGGAGAGGACAGAAAGGTGATGGGGAGAGAGAACTTACTTTACCTCATTCTCTAATTGATATGAAGCCAATTTGTGTACCAAAATTAAGGCCATCTCGGAAATGGGAGAAAAATTTGTCAGGATGGCAGGCTGTACAAAGGTTGAGCTCTTGTAACTCGTCCTGAATATTCCGTGGAAGAATTCCTCCCCGTTCTAGAAGAATCCTTAGGATAAATATTTTTCAAAAGAGAGCAAAGTTTTATCACCTAAGTTCATATATTAGCTCTAGAAGCTACTATATTTTCCTTCAGACATGACCTGAATGTACTGTCTGAATTAAATGATCTACAAATATTCTGGTAACTCCAGAAGTTTCTTCCTAAATAAGTACTTGATTTTGATTATAAAATTTTGTATCCAGATCATGTCTACATTTCCTATCTCCTTTCCTCATATTAACAAACCAGATTTTCCACAGGCAATTTGCTTCTCCATAAATACTTTATGCTATGAAATATGACTATAAATGAATGATATTTAATTCTACAAGTCACATTTAAGAATCTATTTCAGCCCCTTCTACTTAAGTACTAAATGAATCAAAATCTGAACAAAGTTTTGCTGAATGAAATAGAAACATGATTCCAATTAGACATCTATTTTCTGTTGTAGAAATGAGAAATTCTAACAGATATTAATAACAAAACTTCATAAATTCAAAAATGCAAGAGATCATAAAATCGTCAAAGCAACTTTGTATTTGTATTATCTAATATTTTTGCTAAGAAATATATTCCTCGAGTTAATTAGAGAATAATTAACTATAAAATACCAGCTTCCTCATAGTTTATTTTATTTAGGAGAATTTAGGTGAGGAAAGGCTGTGAAGTATATGTCAACTTCTTGTATATGAAATTTAAGGAGATCTTTTAAACTGTATGTCAGCTGTTTCTTCTTTCACTATTTTTTTAAGATTTATTTTTTTATTTATTCATACACGAGCTGGGGCACAGGCCAGAGATGCGGAGGGGGGCACGCGGGGGGAAGGTGAGAGGATTCACCAGAGACAGAGCGGGGAGCAGAACAGGCAGACGGGCTGAAATACACTGCTGAGGGGAGCAGCGGGCAGCAGGAGAGGTCTGCCTCGCCATGTGGGTTTCTCCCTGGCCAGCCAGGGATCGAACCTGTGCTGCAGAGGCTGTGGACTGCCTCATAGTGCAGTGCCTTAACCCCTTGCACCACCAGGGTGTCCCTCTTCTTTCACTTTTAAATCAGTAAGAGATACTAGACTATAAAATTTCTGTCATTCAAACATAAGTGAGAACAGATTTTATTTAAATGAATTTTTGTGCACACATATAAGCTACTTAACTATCTGCTTCCTGAATATTTCTCAGTGTTACAAATTGTTCACTGCAGAAGCACCAGGCAAAAGCAGACTTGCATTTCTGGAATGAAATCAAACATACCTTGTAGCTTTACGGATGTCAACATAGGGATTTGGTGAGTCAAAGAGCCGTACACATTCGGGATCAAGATTATGAAATGCCTTTGCTGATTCCCTTGGAAGAGTAAAACAGCAAGGTCCTATTGAAGGTCCAAGTACAACAACAATGTCTTCCAAACTGCAGCCATATTCTGATAGCATAGCATTCACTGTAGCCATTGCAACACCTAACAAAGTACCTTTCCAACCTGGTAAACAGGAAGAAAAAGAGATAAGGAAAGTTAAAACACAACAAAATTTCACCTTGATTTCTAAGTAAATTAAAAGTGAGTAATTATTGTATATTTCAAAGACCAGAAACAGTAAATCACAAAATTAATTAGACTAAGTAAAAAAATGATTTTTAAATGAAGTATACTATGCCAAGCACCTAATATGGAAGACATTTAATGGAAGGTCCCTTTTACTTCCTTTGAAAAATGTTCCATACTATTAGTTTCTACTGGGGTTGTACCTTCCTAAGTCTTTTCTAGCTCCCTCACCTTGTTTTTTATTACATTTTTAAAAAATTGTGTGTAAAAGCACAAAACAGAAAATTTACCATCTTAATATTTTCAAGTGTACACTTCAGTAGTGTTAAGTATATTCACATTATTATACAATCATTCTCTAGAACTTTTTCATCTTAAAAAAACTGAAATTCTGTACCCATTAAAAAAGAATTCCCCGCTTTGCCTTCCCCCAGACCCTGGCTTCTGTTTTCCACTTCTGTGAATTTAACTCCTCTAGATACCTCATGCAAATGAAATTGCACAATTTTCTCTACAAGTTTTATAGTTTTAGCCCTAATATTTACCTCTTTGATCATTTTGACTTAATTTTTATATATCACGTAAGAAAAGGGTTCTACATTGCTCTTTTGGATGTGGATATTCAACTTTCCCAGTGTCATTTTTTTTTAAAGATTTATTTATTTATGAATACAAGAGCTGGGGTAGAGACCAGAGGTATGGGGGTGGTGGTTGAGAGGATTCACTGGAGACAGAGCGGGGAACAGAACAGGCAGATTGACCGAAGTACACTGCTGAGGGGAGCAGCCAGCGAGTCAGGAAAGGTCTGCTGTGCCATAGCTCCCTGGCAGGCTGGGGGATCGAACTTGTGCTGAGAGGCTGTGGACAGCTTCACAGTCTACGTCTTAACCCCTTGTGCCACCAGGGAGGCCCCCCCAATGTCATTTGTTAAAGAGATTGTCCTTTCACCATTGTATGACCTAGGTACTTTGTCAAGAATCACTGGATCATAAATGTAATGGTTTATTTCTGACCTCTCTATTCTATTCCACTACCATACTGTTTTTGATTACTGTAGTTTTATAATAAGTTTTGAAATCAGGAAGCATGTGACAATAACTTTATTCTCTTTTGAGATTGCTTTATCTTGACAGTTTTATATTTGATATTTTAAAACTTTGGTTTCACAACCTAAGAAGTAACGAATAATATGCCCTTTCTATATCCAGGAATTAAGACTCAAATTTTAAATAGCTTTTGACAATATCAAATACTAAATCTGACTTCTAGTCATCCAATTCCATTATTTTAGCTAAGTCACAAGAATAATAAGCCTCTTTTATATTTAACTATGGCATAAAGAGCAAAGTCATCATAGATTTACAGACAGAAGGAAATCCAAATGATCACCCCTCATTTCACAGAGAATCATAAACACTGGATAATCTAAATGCTATTTTTAAATACTTCCAGAAAACAAAATTCCACGTATAACCTTAACACAACACAGCATGTGTAATTCTTCTTGGTCCTTATCTCCAGAAAGAACTTACGGTTAAAGCTACTAGACTATACCATATTAAACTAAATACAGTTTTCCAAACATATCTTGTTTTTCTTACTTCATACTTTTATAAGCTATATCTTGGTGAACACATTTCTTCATGTCTAACCTTCCTCTTTCCAGTTGCTTAGACTTTAAGGGTTCTCAACCAGAGGAAGTAGCACTCTGTGGGGAGTGTTACGACAACAAGAAGGCCTTTCTTCTCTTTTTAATTTTGTTCCTTTCCTTTTTGGTTATTACAACAACTGGGAATTCTCCTGGCATTAAGAATTTCAAAATCAAGCAAACTTAGTCTGCAGTGTAAGATTATTTTGCTCCAAATGTTAACAGCACCCCAGCTGAGAAACACAGGCACCTAGCCAAATCCTACACAGTCCTCAGAAATTAGCATAGGCACTGTTTCCTTGAGAATTCCATTCTGATTCATGTAATTTAATTTTGGCACTCCATCTACTGGCTCCTATAATAAGAGTATGCTAGTCCACTCCTATCTTTACACTTATCACCATGTCAAATAATAACTGTTTCTGCCCTACCATTCAGAAAGAATTTGTAACTTTTTCTGTACTTTGAAATTGGTAAAATCCTAAATGCTTAATTAAGTACACTTACCAGAGTGAGCAACCCCACAAGCTTTTTGGACGGGATCTGCAAAAACTATTGGTAGACAGTCAGCACCAAGAGCAGCTATTGTGACTCCTCTCTGATTTGTGGTGATTCCATCGTAAGACTCAGGCTCTCTCTTTTCCATAATCCAGACATCATTGGCATGATCAGTCTAATACCAAACATATGCAATAAGAATGTTTTGAAAGTAGGATTTCTCATACCATAAACGTTTCTAAAAGAACTCATAGTGTACAGTTACATAACCAGTTTAGGTTTATTAGCATTCATTAAACATCACTTCTATCTATGGTAAAATAACAGATCGATTTATCATTAAACTTTTGGTATTATTATACCTGCACATTTATTCAAAGGAACACACATTCATATTTAAAAATTCAATATAGCCCATCACGACATCTCCCACTAGAGATAATGGGTAAATCTGGACTTGCAGCACTTTCCACAGAGTATGGCTGTAGTAAAAGAAGTTGAGAATTAGCAAGTCAGTGGTATTTATACTCTCCCTGGCCGCAAATAAAACTAGTATTCTGTAAGAAACAGGCTTTACTTTAATTGTGATCATATCCTTCCTTCCCCCTTGCAGGAACTTTTCTTCTAAATAAAAAAGAGAAGTGAGGGCCTCCCTGGTGGCGCAGCGGTTGAGAGCTGGGTTGTGAAGCTGCCCATAGCCTCTGCAGCGCCAGTTCGATCCCTGGCCACCGGGAGAGGGTCCCAAATGGCGTGCAGACTTCTCCTGCCGCCCGCTGCTCCCCTCAGCAGTGTACTTTGGTCCTTCTGCCTGTTCTGCTCCCTGCTCTGGCTCTGGTGAATTCTCTCAACCTCCCGCACTTCTGACTGTACCCAGTGCTTGCATAAATAAATAAATAAATCATTAAAGAAAAAAAAGAGAAGTGGTATTATATTTCTCGAGAATTAACTATACTTTTAGATGTAAGAAGCTACGGGTGAAATATATCATAGAACTGATCTTTAGACTATTATATATAGAGTTAAGAAAACAACCACAAGCATTTCCCTAAAATTTTAGATAAATCATCAAATGCCAAAGTGAAATAGCTTGATTAAAATCCACATACTCATTAGGAGAATCAAGAATATACTTTAGATGTTCCAAAATAAGAAGCAAAATTGTGTACCTTTATTCGGTAAAATTTCTCCACATTAAATCCTGCAACATTCCCCAACCTACGCAGATTTTCTTGAACAACCACCTTGGGATCTCTCCGTCTGGAACTACTGAAGAGATTGAATGAGCTAAGAGTTGGTATGTAAGATATCCCACCTGTTCTTGTTGTAAATCCATGTATGAAAATATCTGTTAAAGATAAGTAGTGAAGATTAAAAAAATATGCTACACAAAACCCATCATTCAGTATGACTTCCTCTGACCTACATTTGTTTATCTGGCTTCTAATTTCTACAGCAGTTTGTACTTCTATGTGTCCTTATTATGTTCTGCTTTGTGCTTGTTTAATCCTCCTTATATGATTACTGCTCTTCAAAGAGTATCTTCTGTCTCATTTTTCTTCGCTATATCCAATAGCAAACAGCTCACAGTAAATACTGTTTAACCAAGAAGACACTGCCTTTTAAATTTCACTCTTCCCTGAAGGTACCAATGAGTTAAGGTTGAGAATTTCTAAATATGTGATGCATAAGGTCATTAACCTTATTTTAAAGGAAGGCTGCGAGATTTCTCTTAAAGCTTAATTTGCATATAGCAAATTTATTTAGGGTAGTTTTGAGGGGACTACCCATTGATACCACAAGGCTGTCCTTGAAACTTACATGTTGCAAGAGATGCTAATGAGTACATAAAACCACAATAGTCTACAAAAGGGAGAAAGAGATGTATTAACTCTGAAGAAAAACTGATTTTTCAAGCATTCATAAAAATAATACATGACATTTAATCTACCTGAGATCAAAGGAGATGTGATAATGGTTAATTCTCCTTTCAGAGCTGGCAAACTTCTCAAATATGTTTCTATTTCATTCTGAACTGCTTCCAGTTCTTGAGTTGTGATGACTTTTATATCACTGGACTGTTTCAAATGATCTCCTCTCAAAGTCACCTGTAAGTCTTCAAACTCAAAATTGTAAACAGTGGTGAAGAGTTGATCAATAAATGCCTTTATTAATGTCTTCCGATGTATGGGTACAATTACCTTAATGGTGCTCAGATTTTTTTCATCAATTTTTTGTTTAATGGTATAGAGAGAGGCAGCCAAGCTAGGATTGCTAACTGTCTCAAATTCTCTCAAGAGAGTTGATAATTCAATTCTTGTTTCTATTTCACAATTATCATGTTCACCATCCCTTTCACAGCTAATGTTACTGCAACACATTATGCAAAGGAACTTGGCCTTGGTAGCATGGTTGTATCTAATAGTATTCAAGGTCTTCAGTAATGTCTGGTCACAGTTTTTTTCAAAGTTCAATTTCAAGCCAAAGAGATCAATCAACACTGCTTCTGCCATCTTCAATACAGTATGAGGCTTTTCAAAGAAGATGTCTCTGCCCCAGAAAAATCATCTGTAAAGAAGAATTAGCATAAGTAAAGATGCAAAAATATGATCAGACTTCTTATAGTTACAACAGAAATATCCAGCTGGATAAAAAAAATTTAATCTAAAAATGTACCCAAATTCAGAAGAACTAAAGAGACACTTCTCCGACAAAGACATCAAGGAAATGAAAATCAAAACACAAAGAGATAACATCTCATACGTGTAAGAAAGGCATATTATTAAAAAGACCAGAAATAACAAGAAATGGCGAGGCTATGGAGGAAAAGAAACCCTTTTACTCTGTTGGTAGAAATGGAGACTGGCCCAACCCCCCATGAAAAAAAACCACTACATGATTCAACAATTCCACTCCGAGGCAGCGACCGAAAGAATGCAAAGACTCTAAATCAAAGGGATATGGGCACTCCCATGCTCAAGGCAGCATCACTTAAGACAGCCAAGTTACAGAAACCACCTATGTGCATAATAGCAGAGGAGTAGATTAGAAAATGTGGTATATATACACAATGGAATACTACTCAGCTATAAAAAATAAACTCTCGCTATTTTTAGTAACATGGATGGAACTGGAGAGGATAATATTAAGCTAGGTAAGTCTGAAAGAAAAAGACAACATTGATTTCACTTATATGTGGAATACAGAGAAACAAACCAAAGAGTCAGACAAAACTGAACCAGTAACAAACCCTAGAAACCTGACTGTGTTATCAAGGCTACAAGACCTGGATGGGGTAGGTACAGAGCAAAGTATGGAGGGGACTGGTGGAGGGCTGTGTGCTTTGGTGGTAGGTGTGGGGATGAATATCTGAGAAAGTATGATCCTATGCCTCTGAATCACACGCAGCACTGTAAGTCAGTGTTATACCTCAATTTTAAAAACAGGCCTTTTCTGGGGGGCCTTCCTCATGGCTCAAGGGGTTAAGACGCAACCTATGAAGCAATCCGCAGCCACTGCAGCACGAGTTTGATCCCCAGCCAGGGAGCTACCCACATAGCGTAGCAGACCTCTCCTATCTCGCCCGCTGCTCCCCTCAGCAGTGTATTTCAGTCAGTCTGCCTGTTCTGTTCCCCACTCTGTCTCTGGTGAATCCTCTCACTGCTCCCACACCTCTGGCCTGTACCCCAGTTCTTATACGCATAAATAAATAAATTTTTTTATTTTTATTTTTATTAAAGATTTATTTATTTGTTTGTTTTTATTTTGTTTATTTATTTATACAAGCACTGGGCACAATCAGAAGCGCAGGAAGGTGAGAGAACCCACCAGAGCCAGAGCCGGGAGCAGAGCAGGCAGAAGGACTGAAGTACACTGCTGAGGGGAGCAGCGGGCAGCAGGAAAGGTCTGCGCACCATGCGGGACCCTCCCCCGGTGGCCGGGGAGCAGCCAGGGATCGAACTGGCGCCACAGAGGCTGCGGGCAGCTTCGTAACCCAGCACTCAACCGCTGCACCATGAGGGAGGCCCTAAATAAATTTTTTTAAAAAATGCCTTTTCTCTGTGGAGATTCCTAAAATTACTGAAAATGGAGCTACCATATGACCCAGGAATTCCACTGCTAGGAATCAACCCAAAGGATACAAAAACATTAATTCAAAAGGATACCTGTACCCCTATGTTTATTACTACACTATTTATAAGAGGTAAGCTATGGAATCAACCCAAATGCCCCCAAAATAGATGACTGGATCAAGAAGTTGTGGCATATATGCACAATGGAATATTATTCAGCAATCAAAAACGATAAGCTCATGCCATTTGCAGCACTATGGATGGAGCGAGAAGGGATCATGCTCACTGAAATAAGTCCAAAGGAAAAAGAAAAATTGAATGATTTCACTTAGAGAAGGAATATAAGGAAACTAAATAAGGGGATCAGGGAAAAATAATAACTTAAAAAAATTAACAGGCAACTATAAATCAGAGACATTCTGCAGGGGGTGGGGAGTGGGAAGGATCAAAACAGGGGAAGGAAGAGCACAAGGGACTATGGTGATGGTGCACAGGTGAACTGGTGGTGGGAATTTTATGGGGACTACACCTGAGAGGAAAAAGCAAACATTGCACAAAAATGAACAATGATGTAAAATATATTAAAAAATTACATAAAAATTAAAAAGAAACTTTAATAAAATAATCTTTGAATTAAAGATAATACACATGGAAACAAATGATACCCAAAATAGTGCATTTTGGACCCCTTCTCTACTAGTCCACTATTTTTCATATGAGATCATGATAATTAAAGCAGTCATATTTTAATTCATTTTGTGAAAGTATCCGTAATCTATCCAGCTTGTGTATTCATTTATTTATACTGTTATCATCCTCTGGATGATGGCGGTGGTTTCTATATAGCACATTTTAAGTAGGGAATCATTTGTTGACTTAGACAAGGTCCTGTTTTTTAATTACAGGGTGTCGGTAGGTGATACATCATTAATTCTGACATGACTGGCATATCAGGCCACACCCTTTTATATGAAAGACCATGGGGCATTAAGTTCAATAGCTAAACGGAGCTGCAGTTAAAAATCGCATTTTTTAAAATTTTTTTTATTTTATATATTTTTTACATCAATTTTCATTTTTGCACAATGTATGCATTTTCATTCTGGTTATACTCCCCATACAATTCCCACCCCAGGAAATAAAAGCTTAGATGACTAATAGACTTCCCTCCAGGACTGACAAAGTCCTCCAGATACTGCAATCGTCACAAAAACAACTGTCGTTGGATCCGATTTGGCTCTTCTACCTACTTTCTCCCCTGGCTTCCCCCCGCACGCTGTGGGGCTCTTGAGGGCCCCCCTTTACCCAGTTTTCTCCTGCTGCCATTCCCAACTTCCGCTCCCTACCGTGCAGGGCTGCCGCTGGAGTTCATCTCGCCAGCTCCGAAGTGCACCGAGAGCAGAGAGGGGGTGACCGACGTCCAGCGCTCCGGTTTTGCGAATTTTCACTAAACGCCTCCCGGGGCGTGGCATGGGCGTGGCACGGGCGGGGAAGTCCCGCCCACGCCCCGCCCCGGCCCCGCCCCCGGGCAGTTGCTCCTCAGGCGCTCCCGAGCGCTCCCGCCGCGGCGCCGGGGCCTAGTGCAGGCGTGTTCCGCGAGCCGCCGTCTGCCGCCCCCTCCCGCCCCCACCAGCCCCCAGAGCCTGAAAGAAACCGGAAGCCACGAGCCTATCACCTGGCGTCGAAAGTCCGATCCCGCGTCCGACGGCTCGCCCCGCCTCAGGCGCCTCACTGCGGCGCGACGGATCCCCAGCTGGGCTGCTGCCGGCCCCGACGCCTGCGCCTTGGCCGCCAGCTGAGGGCCGGGCCCGGCGAGCGGACCGCCGGGGGCAGGAGCTGGGCGGTGGGCGGGCCCCGCGAGGACGCGGTGGGCCGAGCCGAGCGGGAAACGCCCGGAGGAGCCGCGCGTTCGCGCCCCGCGGCGGCTTCAGCAGTTCCGGGTGGGGAGGGCCCGCCCAGCCCGCACCCCGCGGCGGTGGCGGGCAGAGGAACGGGAACCCCCGCTGCGGACAGACCTTCTGGCGGGAGCCGGGCAGGTCGGTGTCGGGGAGGCTGGGCCGGTGGGCTGGTGAGAGGAGCCTGGCGGGCGGGCGGCTTGGGCGGGGGGGCGGGGTGAGGGCGCGGGGCGGCCCAGAGAACGGGGTGACTGGGCAGCCTTCTGAGAATGGAACCACTTGCTCTGGGTTTCCCCACTGACTAGGCCGTGAGGTCAGGGTGTTGTAGAGCAACCCCGATACAAAACGGGGTGCCTGACTGTGGGTCCTCACCCGCGCGCTTAAAAGGACTTGTCAATGCTCTACTGCAGGCACACGCGAAAGGTTAATAAAGGTTTATTTACAAGGGAAGGGGAAATGAGGAAATGTACAGCTCAGGGAGAAAAGTGGGAGACAAAGTTTTAAATGCGTCCTACCTGATCCGCTGATCTGGAACCCCAAATGGCACTCTGAGAGCTGGCCGCCAGCCAGGAGCCTTGAAGCCAGGAGGCGAGCTACAGCGAGCTAGCCCAAGGCCCACGTGTTTGGTTTTTATATCCAACCTGGCTGCCCAACTGCACCCTCAGGTCCCAGCCACCCTCCCTTTGGTGGTGATGGGATTTGTCTTTCCTGATGTCTTGATGGCTTTAGTCTGGAGTCTGGGTGGAGTCCACAAAGCCTGTATGGGATTAGCTCAGGACATCCTTTCCCCCTAACAAGGGCACCGGGTTTAATCACCCGAGCTAGGGCCTGCGAACTTCATTACTTTAGCACTTGGCGGTGTGTGTCATCCAGTGTTCAAGTGGGGTGGGTGGTGGCGGTTTTGCTTGTGTATTCATTTATTTATACTGTTTTTGTTTGTTTCTAGAAACAAATTGGTCGACACCTCCTTTGTCTGGATGCTGATTGTACCTTTGAACGCCCTCTGGACCAGCCCTCTGCAGCTCTTTCACTTGTGTTGACAGATAGTAGTCCTGTATGCCCTTTTAAAATATATACTACTAGTGGACAAGTAGAAGGAAAGAATCTTGGATTTCCCATGAAAGTGCAAATTGGCATACTTTATTTACTCTCGTTATGCATGACATTCATTTATTTATATTGAACAGCTACTATATGGAGGGCGGATGCTAGGGTAGAGAGAAAATTCATTCAAACTTCAAAAAAGTAAGAGAAAGGGTGCTTTCTGGAAAACTGGTTATGATGGAAGGAGAGGGTCCACTTTTCTTCCTTATCGCTTATTTGGTTACGTGCTGAAGAATCTTTGCTGGGAATAAGGAGGGATATCAGATGTGTAGTTTAGAAGAACAGTTGGAGGTGGACAAGTACTGCTGTTCTATTTCCCTAGGGAATGGAATCACCGACCCAGAATAGGAATTTTCTGTTCAGTGTCCTTGGCAGACTTTTTTTATCAGAATGATTTTATTATTTTTGTTAGATATTTATTAAGAACTGTGAGTGGTAGCTGGTACATCTGCTCAGAGCTTGCACACTCTGCCTTGAACTTGTTTTATGTTAAGCATTACTTTAAGCAAAATAGAGGTCTTTTGTTACAAAGGTGTAAAAGTCTCTCTTTTAAAAATATTTATTTATTTATTTATTTATTTATTTATTTATTTATTTATTTATTTATACATACTTACAAGCACTGGGTACAGTCAGAAGCGTGGGAGGATGAAAGAATTCACCAGAGCCAGAGCGGGGAACAAAACAGGCAGACCAACGCAATACACTGCTGAGGGGAGCAGTGGGCGCTGCAGGAGAGGTCTGTGCACCATGTGGAACCCTCGCTAACCGCGAGGGTGGAACCGGCGCTTCAGAGGCTGCGGGCAGATTTGCAGCCCAGCGCTCAACTGCTGTGCCACCAGGGGAGGTCCAAAAGTCTGTTTTTATGGACAATGATGGTGATGGAGTTTTTGGAGTCCGTGGATATGGAGTGCTGGGTCCTTGGGTTCACTCTGGGGAGGGTTCACCTGTTTCAGCGACAGCCAGGGAATTTCACAGGCAAGTTTCTCCATGAGACAGGGACATCAGTTATATTTAAAGGGCAGGTTTATTAGGGAAAGGGACAGAAGAATAAAGGACACTTGTTTTGACACAAGCAGACACAAAGAGCTGCCCAGAAAGGGACAGGTTTGCTTAGAGAGGCCTGTATGGTTGCAGGTAGGTGGCCTTGAGAGCTGCCTCCACTGAGGGAGGTCAGTGAGAAGTCCCTGCATGGGGTCACGGGCAGGCAGGAAGGCTGCTGCCCTGCAGAGGAGAGAGTTGGTGAAAAGGGACACCTGCATAGTCACAGGTGGGCAGACAGAGTGCTGCCCTGTTGTGGGGGCAGTGTTAGCTTTTATCATCTTCAGGGAGGGGCTTATCTTTGTGGATGGATAGTTTGTGCTGCTTACATTCCCTATAGCTGTCTGAGAGTTTCTGGGTGTTGTGCCTTCTGATCTGGGCGTTGATGACTAGGGTCTTGGTTTCTAAAACTGGGTTAATGGATTACGTTCATCCCTTCTACCCCTACCTCCTTGTGTGAGTTAGGTTCTTAACCTTGTATCTCCATTCCTCCATTGGTGGGAAATCATTTTCTTTCATGCAGTAGTAGTGGCAGTAAAAATTATAAAAATACTTCAAAGTAGGGAAGCTGTCAGGGAGGAGAGAGTTTTTCATTATATTGTATTTACTTGTCATTCTCTTCTGTCACCACTGTTATCTAGCCTCACGTCCTAAGTCTTTTACCTAGTCCCCAGCACCCCATCCCACTTTAAGTAATACAAGGATGCCTTACTTAAAAAAATAAATCCAGGGGGGCCTTCCCTGGTGGCACAGCGCTTGAGTGCTGGGCTGCAAAGCTGCCCGCAGCCTCTGCAGCGGTGGTTCTATCCCTGGCCACCGGGCAAGGGTCCCACATGGTGTGACAGACCTCTCCTGCTGCGCCCACTGCTCCCCTCAGCAGTGTATTTCGTCACTCTGCCTGTTCTGTTCCCCGCTCTGGCGCTAGTGAATTTGCTCACCCTCCTGCGCTTCTGACTGTACCCAGTGCTTATATAAATAAATCTTAAAAAAAAAAAAAAATCCAGGAACCCCATTTCAGACATACATTTGGATCAGAATATGTGGGAGTGAGGTCTGAGTATGTTTTGCTGTGATGTTTTATTTCGTTTTGATCTAATCTCTGCAGATGATTCAGATAATTAGTTGGATTTGGAGACAAACAAAAGGTTCCCTACTCCCAAGCCATTCAAACTAAAAACTTACTTGGATAAGCCATATAATTTCATTTTTTGCATATGTTATTCCATCTACTTAGATGATCCTTCCCTTGACTGTTGCTTAAAACCCTCAAGCTCAAACATAACTTTCCTTGAATCCCAGTCTTCTTACCAAGCAGAAATAATTATTTCTCTAGTGTTTTTTTCCTATGAAACAAGTGCTCTCATAGATGCAGTCTGGACCCATAAACAAGGAACAAATTGAAAATGTCAATTAAATGTTGAAGGGTGCACATTTTAAGGTTGAACTTGATGGCGTATAAATTATATTGGAATAAAACTTTAAAAAGTCAGTTAAGAGGGCCTCCCCTGGTGGCGCAGCCGGTTGAGTGCAGCGCTTTGAAGTGGTCCACAGCCTCTGTAGCACAGTTGGATCCTGGCCCACCAGGGAGCGTCCCACATGGCCTGGCAGACTTCTCCTGTCTCTCCTGCTCCTCCCCTTAGCAGTGTATTTCAGTGCATCTGCCTGTTCTGCTCCCCACTCTGTCTCTGGTGAATCGTCTCACCCTCTCGTACATCTGGCCTATACCCTCATTCTTGTATAAATAAATAAATAAATCTTTTAAAATCAGTTAAGAAAGTTATGAAAAAACAAACACCTTAAACATTTTTGCCAATCTAAAATCCCATTTGCCAATCTAAAATCCAAGGCCCTTTCTTTGCAAATAATCTGCTGATTAGATATCTGCATTGTATTTCTTGCATAACTACTTCTAAACCATCAGTTAGCATTTCCCAAGATTTCATTCCTTTAAGAGGAAAATAAAGGCATTTGTGTCACTGGGTACAAATTTCTTCCTTATTATCTTTCATAATTATTTCTCAAATCATTGTCTTTCTAAAGTAATAAATATACAATATACTCAAATCACTGTCTTTCTAAACTAGTAAACATTTCAAAGAAAAAGACTACATTATTTCATTGGTATTCATAATATCAAGAAAATTATGAGAGAACTGACAAGTAGAGTTAGCATAAACAGGTTCAGGAATACACACAAAGTAACTCATTGTCAGATCATGTGATTCAGCTGATAGGAGTAGAAGTAGAAAGATCCACTAGAGAGTAGCTTTCTAATAGTGAACATTCAGCATGATAAAGGAATTAGAAACAAAGGAAATAGAATGAGTAAATTGGTTAGAAGTTAAGTGTAGGTAGGCTGAAAGAGCATTTACTATACCTCTGCATTTTAATAATTTGACTATTTGTCTATCTCCATGGTAAAGACTTAGAGTATTTTGAGAGCAGAGGTGGTGTGTGACTATTAAGGAGAACAACAGGAAGTCCCATATATTCTTGTGTCACCATGTAAATAAGAATAACTGGCATTTTAAAAAAGGTTTTTCTTGGTGTGTAAGCAATTGTTTTTAAACTATTTACACTAAGCCTTATGGGACCCTCCTGGAAAAAAATAATTTAACATGAATTTCCTAAGGCTGCCATAACAAATCACCACAAATAGAATGGCTTAAAAACAACAAAAATGTATTGTCTGGACTGTGTGGCTTTCAAAGATTTCCTTGCCTCTTATAGCTTCTAGTGGCTCTAGTTATTTCTTGATTGGGCTGCATGGGTTAGGCCCCTTGTCTTCAGCCTCATATTTTCTTGTTTATGTATATCTGAATCTCATATCATACTCTATCTTTTGGGTATATGGACACCTGTTTGGAAATAAGACCAACCCCATGAGAACAGGCAAAGGCTGTTTATTTGCAAATTACAAAGGAGTCAGACCCCTACCCCCATTCCTGTGTTTTGGCAGAAATTCAGGCAGAGGAATGGGTAAGCTTCATAGTGGGGAAAAAAGGTACATCTTCAGATATGCCCTGATAGGAGGATGTTAGCGTGGGGAAGTTGTAGGTAGAGCTAAAGAAGCAGGGCATCTTATGTGACTGGTGAAAGGGCATATTTGACATTCTCTGATTGGTCCAACTTAGAGTGGGAATCGAAATCAGAGACAATGTCAGTTATTAGTCAAGCAGAGGTCTTTGGGGGTCAGTTGTTACAGGAATTCTGTTTGACTTCCTGCACTGTTATTAGAAATAGTGGTGTAACTTCCTACAAGTCTGACTTAGAGATAGCTGGCTGGCTTCCCGGGCTGGTTATTTATTTAAAATGCATTTATTTAAATGCATTGATTTCCTGGGTTTTCCAAATAAGATCACATTCACAGGTTCTAGAGATTAGGACGTGCACATATTTTGGGTGAGACACCATTCAACCCACTACAAAGATACTCTTGGTTTAGAAATCATGCTTAGTAATTTAAAGTAAATGCTAATTCTCTGGTTTCTTTCCGTTTTCAGCATCCTGAAGCTTTAATTTCATTGTCTAGTCTGAGAAGAGAGTAATCTCTAGTTGCAACAGATCCTAAGATACTGTGTGTGATAGGTATGCAATACATTTTTAATAATTCAGTGAATTCCTTTTGGATCACTCTACTTCTCTTGAAAACATGTGGTTGAAAAAACAGTCTTTTTTTTCCCCTAAACAATGCATTATTGATTCTTACTCATTTGTGTTGTATGTCACATTTTTTTTTCCATTGTGCCTCCTAATTTTTCTTGCTGGAATTGAATTATACAGATGTGATTCTATCATGCTATTGACAAATATAGACCAAAATTTAAAATTTGCTTAACTCCAGGAAACCCTCTTATTTCATCTTTCTTCAGGTTAATTTTTATCTTCCCCATTCACACATTAACTTTAGATATTAAACTCTCCTCCCACTTAGCAAACAAAAACAAAAACATTTTCACACTTGCATGACAAATAGCTATAAATTTTTTTCTTTGTTTTCTAATAAAATACTTACTCTCTTAACTATTTTATAAATTTAACTATTTAAACTACCTGGCATGCTCACACAATTGTTTTTTTCCATTCAGAATGAAAAATGGTGCTTAGGTGATGTGATGCACACATAAAATTGACTCCTTTTAATTCTTCTAAGCCAAAATTTCTCAAAGGCTCTAGTGGAGTTTGATAGCCTTGTTCTATTTTGCTCAATAATTTGGTAGAAGACACTAGATGTGTTTCCCAAATCATGGCTACTTAGCTATCTTCTCCCAAGGGCCTAGTACAGAGACTTACCTCTTGAATTCAAATGATGACATGCACAAATCATGCTTATCATAGTGTTTTAGTACATAATAAGTACCTAATAAATGTTAGTTTGGATCCTAATTGCTTCAAAGTTCATCCTTCCCATTTATTGGATGTGTGACCTTTGGTGAATTTCCATATTTCTCCAAGTCTTAGTTTCCTTATCTACAAAATGTACATAAAAAATAATATCTAGGAGCCTCCTTGGTAGTACAAGGGGTTAAGTCTCAGCACTATCAAGCTATTGCTGGCCAGAGAGCTAACCCATATGGTACAGCAGACCTCTCCTGCCTCTCCTACTGCTCCCCTCAGCAGTGTATTTCAGTAGATCAGCCTGTTCTGCTCTCCACTCTGGTGAATCCTCTCACCCCCCACACCTTTGGCCTACGTGCCAGTTTTCATATGCACAAATAAATAAATCTTTAAAAAAAAATCTAGTTTGTAGGATTGCTTTGAGCTGAAAAAAAAAAGATAATCCATATAAAAGCACTTAAAACAGCACTGGTTACATTATAAGTATTCAATAAATGTTAACTGTTAATATAGAATTATAGTTTATTGTAGTATTTCCATTGCATTGTTTTTTCCAAAGCTACTTTATTAGTTGAAAGTATTTTTTCCTAAAAGATTGTTTATTTTATATGTAAAATGTGGATATTTACAATCAAATACAGTAGATACTGTGATTTTTTTTAAATCAATCAATTCACATTCCCACCATGCCTTGTGTGTAATATGAACCCATGTATGTGGTTTGAGTGAAAGTAATTGCTAGTGTCAAGACTCTGGTTTTCATTGATTTGTGCAACTATAATGAATTATCAGTAGATGGCAGTAGTTTGATGTTATTTTTATTTTTTGTCCAGTATACTCTAGAGCTCTAGAAAAAAAATCAAAACTTTACCAATTTTAAAGCAGATATCCTTTCATGAATAGTTGGTTTAGTTAAATATCACTTAAGAGTGCTTCAGTTTATTTATGTGTGTATATGTGTATATATATGTATCAGTAATAGAGATTTTAAAAATACCAGTTATTTTTTCTTTTATATGAATCCAATTTTCTTCACTTGATAAAGTTTACCTTGTCAAATCCTTTAGCAAATATAGTAATAAATAAGACATTGTATGTGCCTTCCTGGAGCTTACAGTCTAGTGTGGAAATAGAGTGTAAAATAATGGAAGTGATGAGTAAAATTTTGTTGTATGGCAGTCCTTTGCTAGATGTTTTACATGAATTTTTTTCATTTAGTCCTAATAACAATCCTAATGAAGCAGGTACTACTATCGTTTTTGTTTTACTAATAAGGAAACTGAGGCTGGTTGGAAAGAATTTACCTAATAAATTAATAAGTGACACAATCTAGATTCAAGACTAGCTCTGTCTTTTTCTAGAGTATATATTATTATCTATCATAATATAATAGAGATATTAAAACAACTGTACTAAAAAGAGAAGGGAGAGATTATATCTACCCAGAAAGATCAAGAAAGACTTCTTAAAGAAGATGCCATCTAAATTGGAGTTGAAGATTGGTTGTGATGTTGACATCAGAGCAGTATGGTAGTTATAGTCTGATAATCAAACAGGATGAATTGTAGTAGATGTAGACTGCAGACATTACAGATGTGCCAGAAACTCTTCTAGGTCTCTACCCTCATGGAGCTTACATTAGTAAAAGAGGATAGAAAAGAAGCACATGTATAAATAAGATGTCTATGAAACAAATGGAGACAAATTTTCATAAGAGACAAATACTCTCATAAGATAAGACATAATGAAATGAAGGAGATGAGCTCATGTTTTAGAGAGAGTTATTTCAAAAGGCTTCTCTGCTGAAACAGTATTCAGAAGTGGTAAGAAGTGACTTTATTCCCAATATAAAGATTGAAACCAATAAGTTTTGCCAAAAGAAGCAGATTAGAATAGAGTCAAGATTCTGACTTTTTCTATGGGTAAAACAATTGGAGCTTCAGCCCTGGGTCAATTGCTTGAGGAGTATCCTAAAGATTTTCCCAGGAGGTCTATGAAACATCAACAATAGTCTCTCATGCATGCTTATCATTGGCAAATCTGGTTGACTTTCCCTTCTAAAGACCTACCTGCAAATGTCTTTAGGGCTTTGGGTCTAGAGAAGAAAAATGAACTTGTAATTTTCTGAGATGGAAAAGACTATGAAGGACCAAGGTTGGTGGTGATGGGGTGGAGAGAGAAATCAATAGTTTAATTTGGAACATATTAAATTGAAAAATCTATAGGACTTCCACGTGGAGCTATCAGCTAGGCAAAATTGTATGAATCTGGAACTCAAAGGGAATATTCATATAACAAATATAAATTTGGGTGGTATGTGAATTTTAAAGCATGGAACTGATTGACATCATTTGTAGAATGAGTACAGAGAAAAGGCTTGAGGACCGAGCTCTAGGATATTCTAACATAAATTAGAAAATGAGAATGATGAGGAGGAATAAGCAAAGGAAACCAAGAAGCATGTATGGTGTCTCAAGGAGGATATGATTGTGTCAAATGATGCAGATAGGTCAGGGAAGGTGAGGACTGAATTCATCCACTGACTGTGGCAATGTGTAGGTCTTAGGTACTTTGGTAAGAACTTTAAAGTTAAAGTGGAAAATGATTACTTTTAGTGAGTTCAAAAATAATGACAGAAATGGACAGTAAGGTTCTTGGCTATAAATGAAAACAAAAAATGGGTCAACAGTAAAAGGGGATTATACTGCAAAGCAAGGGGTGGTTATTGTTGGTTTTATGATTAGTTATTCAGGACAATATGTTTGACCAAAGAAAGAAAAATTCTCTTGGTGGAACATTTGAAGGAATAATGTCCTTGACAACAAAAGAAAGGAGTATGACAATAGAGGAATGGCTTAGATGGGAGTGAGAATACATTATTCATTGCAAGAGAAGAATAGTGTATGGGTAGATGTGCAGAAGGACTGGTAGACTGATTTATCATCCCCTGATTTTTTTTTCAATTATCATTTAAGCTGAATTATCAACTGAAGGGATGAGGAAAGAGATGTGGAAGGTTTGAAGACAAAGGAAAGGAGTGAAATAATCATCTCTGAAATTTAGTGAATTCTAAGGGCCTACCATCAAGGGCCCACTTAACATAAATGGTCTTGAATTTAAAATAAAACATAGCATGGGTGTGTTTTCTTCTTTAGACCTACTCTGCTACTAAAGTGTAAGAAAAGCAACTGTTGGGATTTTTTGAGGAAGTAGGACAAGGAATAAAAGAAGTGAGAATGAATGCAAAGGAAAGTAAGGTGATCAAGGAAGGAAGTGACTATAAGGACTGAGGGATTGTGAAAATCTAGAAGTCAGTGGATTGGATATTTGCATATGGTTGAAATGGCTTACAGTCAAAATACCAGGAGAAATTAGCTAAAAAAATAGATTTAATTTGGAATTATGGATGAGGTGTAGTTTAATCTGTAGTAGTCTGGGGAGGATGGATGAAAGAAGACATCAATGTACTGGTACTCAGGGTATTTGTACCATCTGTGCAGATGTTGAAATCTCAAAGAAATTTAAGAAAAGTAATAATAGAATTGCCAGAAGTCAGATGCTCTAATTTAGGATCAAGAATTAGAGACCTGGGAGTCAATTGATAAAAACAGGGAAGAGTGAAATATAATTTGATGACATGAAGAAATTAGGTTGTTTTTGGGATGCAATTATAATAGTATGAAATGCCTCACCTATAGACTTACTGACTTGAGTATGAGGAAGCAGTATCTTTGGAGTATTTCAAACAGAGCAAAAATGTGAAAAAAAAGTTCACTGAAGAAGTTAAAGATCAGATTTTGCTGACAATGGATCATTACTTCCAGAGATTACAATGGAAAGATATAAAAGAGTTGGGGAGTAGATAGCATCAAGTTTGGCAATTTACTAAGCCATGTAAGGATAGGTTTTCATGATGAAGAATGACCTGCAAGTCTTGGACTTCTCCTCAAGACTGAAGTTAACAGGGGTGTAGGGTGTAATGGGAAGAATTCACACAATGTCTTATGCAAATTTTTAGAGATGACTGATTTGGTGGAAAGAAAAATGTAGTGACTCACCAGGAAGGTAATTTACCAGGTTAATGAAAAATTCACTGAGTCTTCTCTTCAGTCATGCAAATTTTGGTGTTGAGGCCACTGGAGTCTGAAGGAACTGCAGCAGCTCCATCAGTGGACCTTATTGAGATAGTTTCCACAAGAAGAAATGTGGGTGGTAGTGGGAATGATAAAGAGAGCGATTAGAGAGACATTTTACAATGCAGGAACACAAAAGTCATTGGATTCTGGAGTTTTATACTCCAGATTCTTTATGACTCTTCCTTAAAAACTTTACAATCTTGGAGGTCTACCATACTAGTTAAGAATATGATCCTTGGAGTCAGACTATCTGAATGCAAATAAAATTTTCAACACTAATAGCTGTTCCACTTTAGGTAAATTTGTTTGTCTACTTTATCTGTAAAGTAAAACTCATATCTAGTTCATAGGTTAAATGAGTTAATATTTGTAAAGTTCTTAGGCTATCTTAAGCTTAGAGCATATAATAATCAATATATGATACTTGTTTTTTATCTAAAGTGCTTAGAACAGTGCCTGCATAAATAAGTACTAAATAATTTTATCATTTGTAATCGAGAGAACTAACAAAGTATAAATGTAGAGGGCACACATTTTCTTTTCTTTTTTTAAAGATTTATTTATTTATACATACAAGAGCTGGGATATAGGCCAGAGGTGTGGGGGGGTGAGCGGATTCACCAGAGAAAGAGTGGGGAACAGAACAGGCAGACTGACCAAAGTACACTGCTGAGGGGAGTAGCGGGTGAGTCAGGAGAGGTCTGCTGTTCCTGTGGGTTGCTCTCTGGCCGGCCAGAGAATCAAACTGCAGAGGCTGTGGACAGCTTCATAGGTTGTGTTTTAACCTCTTGCGCCACAGGGAGGCCCGAGGGCACACATTTTCAAGGTAGAATTTATGATGAAGTCTGTGACATACAACCCATATAGAAGAGCAAGAGGGAAAATCAGATGTGGATTCATTAGCATTAATCTGGAACTATCTATAAAGCAGAAAAGTCATAGAGAAATGGCATGAGCAAAGTGATGAGTTGCTTTTCAGGGAAGACATTATAAATGAGGCAATTTAAAGTGAGATTTGAAGGAAAGAAGTGACATGAAGAGACAGAAAAGAATCATAAATTTCAGAGGTGATAATGACAGTCTGCTGAGTGAAACTCTCAGAACTTGTAGCTTGATATTTCTGGGTCTATTTAAATCTCCTGACTTAGGGAGCCATTTAGGTTTTTTCTCTCCTTTTTGCTTATATATCAAGTTTCAATCCTTTAAATTTTTGTTTTTGGAAAACACATGCTACTAGTAGATGGTGCTTTATATTTAATCAATCTTTAAGAAAGATACTTAGGTGATTTTACATATTTCCCTTTGGAAACTTCCTTACATGCACCTTAATGTTATAATATTTGTCTTCTTTTGGCTTATGAAATTTATCATGGCTTTAGTATTTGGAAAAATGCACAGATTCTGTAAAACAACAAAGTATTTTTTTTAAAAAAATAAGTAGAAAACACCCATATGTACAACTGCTAAATATGGTGATTTATAATTTTAAAAGTATCTAACAACATTTAATTCTTTTTATTAATCATGCAAGTTTATACAGTTTCCTCTGTATAGAAATTAATATGTAATTTCAGATACTCTATTTTTTTCCCAAAGCTGGTTATGCCTTTAACTTTTCCAACTCAGCTTTCATTTGCTGTGCTGGTAGAGGAAGGAACTCATTCTCTTCACTTTTCAAAGTAGAAAATGACCTTTTCATCTTACCAGTTACTTCTAGATGTGTAATAGATTGAAGTATGATTTTTAATTTGCATAGTATACCTGGCCAGAATTGTGCTGGACAGGAATGTTGTATTCCCTGCAGTCTAACCCACAGCAGAAACTGCTAATCCATTTTGGCTCTGTTTCTCACATATTTTTACTATAGTTTCAGAGTCTACTTCATCATAATGCTGGAGATGCCAGATACAATCTATAATAATTTCTCACTATATACTTCAGGTACTGTGTTAAGCATTTACATATACTACTTAATATTAAGCAACCCTGTGAGGTTTACAAATGATGCTGATGAACAGAAAAATTTTTTAAAGGTCATAATAAATGAAAAACATGAGACTCAAAATCCAAATGCAGTTCTTCTTTCCTCAAAAATTTCTCACTCAACCAATATATTTTGATTCTTGGAATTAATGATGAAATGTTATTGACATTCCTGTGAGGTGTTTGACAGTTTACTTTTAGGATCACCACTGTATAGACAAGAAGAAACAAAAATGAAAGATTAACAACATTGATTATTTTGTCAGAGTAAAAGGTGATCTGAAAGAAGACAGAATGTCAGGCAACACAGACAGGAAGAATCAAGGAATTCTTAAAGAAGGTAATAAAGTAATCTTAAGAAATAAATGCCAAAAGATAAGCAATTTTTTAAAAAGTGTGATGTAATAATCATATTAAAAGTGATAGCAAGTTAGAATAGAAGGAAGCTGTTAAGTTTCACCAGTAATTTAAGAGGTGAGAAACATACAGTGTTTAGAAAAGGCATAACACTCTGTAAATGTAGGACTATAATGAAAATTTATCAACTATAATTGCATATATTTGTTAGGAAAGCACTATAATTATCGTATATGTGCAAGTGGTCTGGATAAAAAATTAGCACAGTAAGAATACTGATACTGTTCTATAAAGGGCCAATATACATAACATTGCAAGCAATTTTGAATTGCTTATTATTTATATCTTTGATTTTGACTTTTTTTGTAATCAAAGGGAAAAATTGCCAATCCTAAAACTTATGAGAAAACCAAACTTCTTATGATTTTAAATAAAGAAACATAATTTTCTTAGAATATCTGTATTTTAAATTTTTATTCTGTACTTTATTCATAGCTGTGGCTAAACAAGACTCATCTTCATTAACTGATGCTGTAGAGCAAGTTGCAAAGCAACAACAATCACAAACATCAGAAATAGAAAAAAACAAAAAAATTCTGTTGCATTTACAGGTAATCTATTTCATAGTCTTTTTCAAATAATTGTGTTAGATTTGATGGCAAGTTAAAACAGAGGGAAACTGTTAAATTTCACCAGCCAGAGAAAAGGCATAGCAATCTGTAAATGTTTTTTCAAAACTATTAAGTTAGTATCAGGTGTTATTAGGTATGTTTATTCTGCACAGATAATTTTACTTTATATTTTTCAATATTTATTCCTTAATTGTTCTATTATCCTTAAGTAAAGTTTACATGAATTTTCCAGTTTCACAAAACATTTTGTGCACCTGCTATACAAAGATTCAACAATGTTGTCATGACTGTGGTATAAGGATATAAAACCCAATGTGTCAAGCAGAATTATTTTAATTTCACTTGTATTTGATATTTTTCCAAAAATGCTGAATTGAAGGTAAGTTTTGACCCATTATTTTTCAAGCTTTGACTTTTGAGTTACTACTTGCAAGTGAATGTTTCAAGAAGACAAGGAATATTTCTGTTCCTTGTATTTGATAATATAGTCATAATTCAAACATAGGGAACCTGGAACTCATACTTTTTTGTTATCAGCTTCTTGGTTATGTTTACTCTGTATATCTGATGGTGTCAATAGCCAGCACACATTCGGGCATCATAGGGGCAGGAATCTCAATTTAATGCAAGAGTTTTAGCTTAAAGAAAACAGATCATTCATCATACAGTGTGGTACGTATGTATGTGCATATTTCTATACTAGGTATTGGTGTCCTTTCCTCCCTAGCCCCTTATTATTATCAGCATGAAAGTTAGTCTAAACTAATCAGATTATAACATTTAAATATGTGCATCAATTATATCTCACTAAATAACTAAACAAAACCAAAAACAGGACAGTGAGAGGAGGGAGAGAAGGAATAATATGAACAAGTAAGAAGAAAGAGGAGAGGGAACAAGGGAAGGAAAGAGAGCAAAGGAGGATGAAGAAGGAGTAAGATAACAAGAAATGTAATTGTAATGAAAGGGTAAAAATGGATGAAAGGAGGAATTGACTACAGCCAGTAAGAAAAAGTAACAGATAACTACATAAAACCAGGAAAGAGAAGAGATGGTGGCCAAATCAGTGATGTAAAAACACTCTCCACATTGATAAATAGCCTGATCTAGCTAGCAGGGCATGTACCACTATGCATCACTTGTTCACTCATTTAATAAATATATATTGAGTATTGTGCACCTACTTAGTTCCAGGTACCATGTTAAGCACTGGGAATGTTAGTGGGCAGATTGAGAGGTGCTCCAAGGACCCTCAAACCTTTCACACTCTAAATGGGTTCTGTCATCACTGCATAAAGACAAAACATACTCTTAGGGTATAAGACCTTCAACAGAAAAGAACTTTAATAGAATTAGTGTGCAATAGACAGAAGAGAGAAGGGATATTGTTTCCCAATGAAACACCTAAAATTACCTATCCCCTCATGGGTAAATGTCCGGCCAAACAGGGTTGGGTCCAAATGGGGCCACTGAGACCTGAAAGCTTACCACAAGTCTAAGGCACCTTCTGATGGGGAACCATAGAAAAGGAGCAGAAGGGGCCAGGAATATCTGGAAGGAAAAAAGCAAAACCAAAATACAAGTCAAGATAAAGGCTGCCATTTTCAGCCTTCCTATGGGTCTCAAACCAATGTCTCTTTCAAATGTCTCCTCTTATGTCCCTCAAGCCCCTGATACAAGTTCATGGCCAAGAATCAAGTGCAACTTCTTCACGTGTCTCTCTGTTCCACATGCCTCAAGTCTTCCTTCTCTAAGTATTTTTAGCTTCACTCCATTTCTTAGGTCCACCCTTTCATTGGGTGAGGCAGGGAACATGGAACCTCACCTTTTTAGATTACAGTGTTATAGGAAGACAGTGGTAAATAAGATAGACAAGATTACTGTATCCATGAATGACTTTCTAGTCAGGAGAGACAAGCAATTAAGAAATAAACAACTAAAGAACATGTGGTTTACATATTCCAAAGGAAATACAATAGGATAACGTATAGAAACTAACTCAGGGAGGAAGATGGATAGTTACTTTTTATTTTGAATCAGGGAAGAAGGAAAGATTGTCCTGAAGAAGAAGAATAAAGCTAAATTGGGAAAGACAAATACTCAACAAGTAATAGTAAGAAATAAAGATTTTCGAGATAGGAAAAATAATCCCATATACCCTTAGAAAGGAAGAAACTAGGCATCTTTAATAAACAGATTGAAAGAAGGGACAATAATCAATGAGAAAGATGGTTTAGTAGATAGGGACTACAGCACATATAGTCTTGTAAACCACATAAACAAATTGGAATTTCATGATTGTAGGAAACCATTAAAGGCTCTTAAATGGGGAAATAGCATGGTATGATTTATATTTTTTAAAAGATTCTCCTGCTGTGAAGGGACTAGTTGGGAGAGATATGGGGGGGATAGAAATAGAAAGAATAGTTAGAAGCTAGGCCTCTCTACAAAGATTGTTCAGAAGTGATTTGGGGATTTTATTTTGGATGCCCAACCACAGAATTTTCTGGTAAATTCATTATAGGGACTAAGATAAGGGGAATAATCAAGAATTAATTCTAGGTTTTAAGGTATTGAGATGCAAAGAGATGCAGCTTATTGAAATCAAGAATACTCAACCATAGTTGAGATGTTTATTAGGTATCTAAAATGAAGTGTCATGTGAGCATTTGAAATACCAGAACTGAAGGTGAAGATTGAGGTTCATTTGCATATTGTATTTTTCAGTGCACTCCCTTCTCTTGTCTCTGCCAGGAAAAGGATAGAATGGACCTGCCTTTCTAGTACAGTGCCTCCCTCCCCAAATTATAAATTATAAATTTATTTAAAGATGATGACCATACTGGATAGGGAAAAAAAAAAGATGGAAGATGGACTTCAGATTTCTTTTGATAGGAGTAACTACAGAATTTGATGAACCACTATTTAGAGAATGAAGAGAATGAAGAAATTAAGGGAAACTCCCAAAGCAAAAGAGTTGATTAGCTTGGGAATATAAGCCTATATTAATTTGTATTTCCCCCCAATTCTTCATTCTTGTATATATCCACATCCTTTACCATTTATCATTGAAATGCCCTCCCATAGTGGACAGGCACACTCATTCCTTTTGACTGTGAGTTTCAACATGTAATCAGATGAGAAATTAGCAGGCATTATTCAAACAGAAGCTTGAAAAAAAATCACATAATTGAATTTCCTCACCCACTGTCATCATGAGAAAGACATGCCTGATTTGGTCCAGTGGAGAATGAAGCCAAAATGCTCCAACTGGCTCCATTAACCAAACTAAATCATTCTACAGCCTGCCAAACCCCAGACATTTGAGCAAATCCAACTAAAGTTAACAGAACTATCTAGCAAACCCAGACTGCCCCAGATATCATCAATGAACACTTATTGCCATATGTCACTGAGGTGTTGTGGTTCTGAAAGTAGGTGACTGATACAAGGGAAGGGATGGCAGTTAGGGAGTGATTTACCTGATTTTTGGACATGATGAAGTTGAGACAGCTAGTGAAGAAGTTGAGATAGCTAGGGTAGGACTCAAAACCTCTTATGTTCTATGAATCATTAACCTATTTGTGGCTCAAGATATAAGTATAGATAGGATAATCCAAATAAATATGGATAGGATTACCCATATAAGAGTGCCTGAAACCTGTGGAAGACCTATATTTCATGGAACCCTTGAAGCTGAGAAGGAATGCTCAGAATATCTGAAGAGAATAAGGGAATAATGGTGGTGTGAAAACACCTGGCTGGTTAGAACTGCCAAAGGCCCCAAAGAGGTTTTGTAAACATGTTTAAGCTCATTTGCAAATGAAGAAAGTGAGGCTTAGATAGAGTAAGTTTGTTATGTATGATCATACTTCCTAGTAAACAGCAGTAAGGTGAAATAACTTATCTCTTTGATTTTTAACCCAAAGCATTATCATTTTTATCATATTATCTTTCTTCAGTGTATATTTCTGATGCCCATAATGTATTATTAAAATATTCTAAAATATCTTTTACTATAAAATATTAAGACCAAATATATAATTTTAATGTTTAGAATTAAATGAATGTTTTAAAGTAAGAAACATACCACTCTGGGCTTCCGTTGAGATTATAAAATAATTTCATTTCTTTATTGTATGTTTCCTTCTATCATGCATCATTTTTCTCTATATTTGATAAATATATTTTTGTTAAGTGATTCTACATGCACTATGGATCAAAACAGTGACTTTTCTCTCATGTTAAATATCATGAATTAATAATAGTGTTGAAATACATTACAGAATGAACTTCATGAGCTTGAAAAACAAATAGCATCTGTCTCTGAAGAAGCTAAAGAAACAGAAAGGCAAATTTATCAGCAAGATGCTACCATAGAGAATACCAAACTTCACTGTGGAAACCTGGAAACTCAAATTAGATCCTTACATACAGTAAATGTAAAGCTTAAATTTGACATAGAAGCAGCTCAAGAAGAGCTTGAGGAACACATGATAAGATACAATGAATATTATGCAAAAATAAAAGTTCATAAACATAGTCTTGGGGATGTAGAAAGAAAGTGGCCATTCATGACTGAACTCCATGAAAAACGAGATCTTGTTAAAAAACTAAAGACAATGAAAGAAGAACTTATGCAAGATCTCCAAAATCCAGAAGGAAATTGGATGAAACAAGTACAGGTTTGATATATCACTTACCAAGCCTTTTTCTGTCATTCTTTTTTGCACGTATGCTCATAATTAATAAATATACCGTTAACTTAATAATATACCCATCACTACTCTAACTAGATTGAGAAAGTATTTTTAATTTCTTGGATAAGTATTTAAGTTATGCAACAACTATACCAAATGTGCAAATGCATAAAAGAAATGTCCCAAGTTCCCTGTAGATTAATAAAAATATAGAGTCAAACAAAATCACAGTGAACAATTAATCCATTTATTACAGGAGGTAAATGTTTAAACAAAAATGTTTAAACTCTAGTTTCTCGAGTAATGGATCCAGAACAGTTCAAATCAATTTAGTATGCTTAATGCTGTTATACAAACAATATGAATTATTAATTGCACCTGAAGTATCTTCTATATTTTGAAGATAGTGAAAGGTACAAACTTAAAGTATCCATCATTTTTTCACTAGAGAATTTAAAAAATATTTTTTCCACTTTGCTGGGCACAACCACTTTGCCTTATGTCTTATTTTCATATGGATTTTATTTCAAAAATTTTAAATCTAAGGTTTGTTTGCTTAAATAGCCATATTTTGATTTGTTAAAAAAATAGCCATATTTTTACTCTTTGTACCTATAGAAGTAATATTCTAATCCTATTCATCAAAATTAAATATGATGGCTACCTTTTCTTAAGTTATAGAAACACTGATATGTGAATTTATATTGACCACTCATTGCTTAACTTGTATATTTTAAATTTTCTAAACATACAGGAAGATATTACAAAATTAAAGGATAAAATTAAATCTGTAAAAGAATCTATCATTGAAAAATCTTGTTTTCTTGAGGAAGAGAAACAGACACATGAAAAATTAAGAAAAGAAATAGAGGTAAGTCATAATCATCTGGCTTTGAATGATTTATGGGATCATTTTTTAAATTTATAATATATGCATGCAACTATTTTTCTTACTGCTTGATGAAAATTGATCACTGATAAAAAGAGTGATACCTTTCTCAAAAGTTTTCTAAAGAGAATATATTAACATGGCAGCAGATTTTTAGTAATTCTTCTGAGTTTTTTTACCCTACCATTTCTATATCTCTTTAGCCATGACCTTATGGACCTTGGTAGAGTTCATGGTCATCTTTTGCCTGGATTATAATTTTCTTTTGTTCTAATTTTTAATGTTTTCAAACATTTTGGGCTTTGCATATTTCACTTTCGACATTGTTCCCTTTTACATTTTTGGTTCAAAAAATGAAAGTGAATTTTGAATTTCAAGCATTTTTATAAAATATATATTTTTGGTATTTTTAAGCCATAGCTAAATAAAAGAAGTATTTCTAAATATTTATCCTAGGATGCCTTTTCCCCCTGTCTGTTGTTTGTCTTACATATTTTGGAAGAAGGAAACTAAAGTTATGAGAGAATAGATAAGCTGTGAGTTATTAATGTAAAAATTGGGAAAGTAAAATACAAAGCATAAAAAACCAAAGTCTTTGAATACAAAACATTCGGCAACAATCAGTGCTTTTTATTTCAAGATTTAAAAATTGTTCTTTACCAATTCCAAGAGTTTTCAGGGGAGAAAATCTAGACAAGTTAAGACATTTTTAGCAGGTGATTACACATGTGTGCACTTAAATATGTCTACATACATGCACATGATTCTACACACACAAACATCTGTGCACACATAGAAGATTATATAAATGAAGTATACATATAATTTTGCAACTGCTTTACTTGCTCAATAACCAGTCTAATAGTTTTTTTTTTCAGATGAACCTACTTCAGATGAACCTACCTCATTCTTTTTATTTTTTTTTAAAGATTTATTTATTTATTTATACAAGCACTGGGGACAGTCAGAAGCGCGGGAGGGTGAGAGAATTCACCAGAGCCAGAGGGGAGAGCACAGCAGGCAGACTGACGAAGTAACTGCTGAGGTGAGCAGAGGGCTGCAGGAGAGGTCTGCGCTCCATTTGGGACCTTTGCCCTTTGGCCAGGGATCGAACTGGTGCTGCAGAGGCTGCGGGCAGCTTTGCAACCCAGTGCTCAACCACTGCGCCACCGGGGAGGCCCTACCTCATTCTTTTTAATTGCTGTAAAATATCCCACAGTATAGCTATACCTTAAGTTATTTAAGCATGCCACAATTGATAGGCATTAAATGGTTTCCAGTGTTTCACTGTTAAAAATAGTGTTGTAATAAACATCATAGTACTTACATCCTTGCTTCAAAAAGTAGAATTACTGGATCATAATATAAGGTCCATGATCTTCCTATTACTTAGTATAGTCTCATAAAAATAATTACAACTGCTACTCTATGACTGCTACTAATAGCATCTTACATTTGAAATCACTTTATGCTCACTCTTTTATTCATTCTTAACCCCATTCTCAGGAGACTGAGTAAATATTAAATTTGGCCTTATTGGGAGCCTCCAATTTCTTATAAACTCCTTCCAAATTTTGTTTTTTACTTAAACTGTACATGCATGGAAGGTGAGGGGAGTGTTAAAATGCCAAGGAACATAGAAAAGGAAACAATCACTTAAAAACTGAGCTAAGATTTCAACATCAGCCTACTACACTATCTTCCCACTTAACTATTAGAATAAAACTCAATACTTTTCAATAGAAAATAACAGAATCTAGAGTTGACAATATTTACACAACACATAATTAATAAAACTTCTTAGACGTGAAAAAACAGAAAAGTTGTGTCCATAGCTAATAGAATAGCTAATCAATAAAAACAGAATCACAGTTGACCTAAAAGTTGTTAGACAAAGACTGAAAATTTAATAAATATCTTAAATATTCTATAGAAAAAGATAGATATAATGGATAAAGAGGGAATGTTAATAATATATGATAAATAAATATTAGAACTGCAAAAATATTAGAAAATTGTATTGGGTAGATATAATAGCAGGTTAGAAACAATAGAAGACAAGATCTTTTTGAACTTGAAGGCAAATCAGTAGAAGTCATCAAAGCAATTACACAGAGAAAGAAAAAATAATTGCAAACAATGTGTAGCGCCTCAATGACCTGTGATTTAATGTTAACAATGTGACATATGGATAATTAGAATCATAGAAGGAGTCAAGATTTGGGAGGGGAGGAAAATATTTGAGTAAATATTAGTCTCAGGCTTTCCAAACTTGACTAAAACGTAATTCTTAGTCAAGGAACTTCACAAACTACAAGCAAGAAAAATATAGAGAAAACCATGTCTAATAAAATTATGTCCATACTACTGAAAACCAAATTTAAAGAATTTTTTTTAATTTTTAAAAAGATGTATTTTAAATACTTGCATATGAATGCTCATAGAAGCTTAATTCATAATAGCCCCAAAATAGAAACATCAGAAATGTCCCTCAAAAGCAGAATGATTAAACAAATTGTGGTATATAGTCACATAATAGAAAATATTCAGCAATAAAAGGAATGAAGTACTGATACACACAACATGGGTATACAAATTTGTCAGAGTCATTGAACTTCACACTTAAAAATCTTTGCGTTGTAATTCAACAAAAATATTTTACAACACTTTTTATTTTTTTAAATGAATTTTATTTTTATTTTCCCCATACAATTGCAACCCCCTTATTTTGACCCCAATCCCTCCCCTCCCCGCCCCCCACTCCCCATAGAGTATCTCTGGTTCATAGTTTTTTGTTGATTTTGATTTTCACTTTCTTATAGTTATTCATTTTGCTGGTCCCTTATTCAAGTTTTCTAGATTCCTGCTATGAGTGAGACCATCCGGTATTTTTCTTTTTCTTTCTGTCTTATTTTGCTGAGCATGATCCCTTCCAGCGCCATCCATGTTGCTGCAAATTGCATGTGTTTATCTTTTTTGAATGCTGAGTAATATTCCATGGTGTATATGTACCACATCTTCTTGATCCAGTCATCTATTTTTGGGCATTTGGGCTGTTTCCAAAGCTTAGCTATTGTAAACAGTGCTGCTATAAACATAGGGGTGCAGGTGCTCTTTGAAATTGATGTTTCTGTATCCTTTGGGTAAATACCTAGGAGTGGAATTGCTGGATCATATGGAAGCTCTATGTTTTGTAGGTCCAGAAATCTCCACACAGCTCTCCATGGTGGTTGGACCAGTTTGCACTCCCACCAACAGTGCAGAAGAGTTCCTTTTTCTCCACATCCTCACCAACATCTGTTGTTGCTAGTTTTTTTAATATGTGCCATTCTCACTGGTACAACACTTTTTTAGATTAAACAACTGAAGCAAAGAGAAATTAATGATATGTTCAAATGCCAGCAAGTGAGCTCCAAGCCTTTTAAATAAAGCATTTTCTCCATGGTAAAACAATATCACTATATGCAGAAATTCTGAACAATAAAGAATTTCACAGTATACTTTGCAGAATCTCAAAATAAGGCAGCACTTTTTTTTTTACACAAAAAATATTTCATTTTATTTATTCATTCAATCCCTTATTGAACTCATTCTGTGGCCAATTACTCTTTGGGGTTCTGACAATAATGTAGTGAACAAAATAAATGGAAAAAAATGCCAATTCTCATGGAACTTATGTTTTGGTTGGAGAAACAGACATAAACAAAAATATGTGATATGTTGTATGTTAGATAAGAATAAGGTTAGGGAAAAAATAGAACAGAAAAGGGCAATTTATAACGTGATACAGGATCAAAGAACGTGAAACACAACCATACACAGGATAGTGATGTGTCAGTCAGATAATAGTTTAAAATTCCTATTGCCGGGGCCTCTCTGGAGATACAGGGGTTAAAGTTTCAGCACTATCAAGCTATTGCCAGCCACTGCAGCCTGAGTTCAATCCCCTGGAAGGGAGCTAACCCATATGGCACAGCAGACCTCTCCTGATTCACCTGCTGCTCCCCTCAGGTGAATCTTCTCACCCCCTGCACCTCTGGCCTACACTCCAGTCTTGTATGCATAAATAAATAAAAATAAATCTTTAAAAATAAACACAAAAAACAAAATTCCTATTGCCCACTGAGAGCCTTAGCAATTGTAATGTAGTCTCTTTCACGGTCGCAGCTTTATATATCTCATGTTTACCCTGTTTCTTTGTAACATCATCTCCCCTTGTACTTGATTTTAGCCTGTGTTGTTTTATTCAGAATGAACCTTAAGCATATAAAATCCACTGCCAGTGCTGCCAATAAGAGCCCACATCAAGTGATTGACCTGGAAACAAAATTGAAATTGGTTAAGGACTACAAAAGTGGAAAACCAGTGATGGTTATTGTTTGCAAGTCAGACATGTGGCATGCCACCATAGCTATAATCTTGAAGACCAAGAACAAAGTGACAGAAGCTATCAAAGTAACTGCTTCATTGAAAGCAATGAGACTAACAATTGATGAGGGCCTATATCAGAGATGAAGAAACTTCTGGGTGCCCTGGATAGAAGATCAGACACACGTTATCCCTCTCAGCACCATGACAATCATGACAAATATAAAACGTTTGTTCGCAAGAAGAGAATGGATCTGACTATAATGTTGAATTTACTTTTTTTTTTGACTGCTAGCTTGAATTGTTTAAAGGATTCAGGAATCTGTATTCATTACATAAAGTGAATGGTGTGTCTGTGAGTGTCGATGTAAAGGCAGTTGAAAATTTTTTTGAAACTGAGAAGAAATATTTAATATGGACAAAAATCTCTCTATTTGGAACAAGATATCTGACAAGATTTTCATTCACAAAGAGACCAAATCAGTGGCAGGCTTCAAGACTTTTAAGGAGAAGATAACAACCTTGCTGGAGGGCAGTGTTGCTGGCTGCAAATTAAAACTCTTTGTGATCTGACATAATGAGAACCCCAAGTTCTTTGAGCATATCAATAAGCAAACACTGCCAGTATACTGCAGGAGTAGTAAAATGTCATAGATGACCCAGCTCCCTTTCCAGTGTGCTCTCCTGATTGTTCTGCCAACAATGGAATGGAGAAGTACTGTTTGGAGAATAACACATACTTTTCAAGATTTTGCTTATTGTTAATATTCTTTTTTTTGGGGGGTCATCTTCATCCTAATGTCAAAGTGGTGTTTCTCCTGCCACATACTACCTATGTGACCCAACCAATGGATTAAAGATTCATAGCACCTTTTTAGATCTACTACCTGAGATCTTTGCCTAGACTCTTGCTGCAAATGAAGACGATACTGAGAGGAAACTGACACAATTTTGGAAAAATTACAACATCTATAATATCACCAAATAGAATAGAAAAGAAATGTCTAGAGTGGAGGTAGTGAAGAATAAAGTAGTAGAAGATGAGGTCAGGGTCAGATTCAGATTCTATAGGCCTTGGTCTCTTTGTCACTGTGTTTTGTAGGCACAGCTTCTACAACATTATTGCTGTTATTTCCGCCTGGTTAGCAACAATTATTAAATGAGAATAGTTTCCTAGGGGGGGAAAAAAACCCTGTGTTTGCTGCAGAAGGACTACACATTTGTTCACATTTGAGTATTAAGACACACAACAAAGTTAGAATATTACCTGTAGAGGTTGAACAAAGGGCTAACCTTCAAGAAGGTTCACGTTGTGACCTTTGCCTTTATGAAGCCACTTCTTGTCCCAACTATATTTTAGCTTTGTGGGTTTAGAAACGTAATCTTGTTCATATACTAGAACTGAACAGACAAGGAGAGATATTAGAAGAGTTTACAGAAAATTGATATATAAAACTCAAATGCCAGTTTATTAATTTACAATAATAAGCAAAACCCTCAAGAAAACAAGAGAACTTAACATTAGGCTTGAGTGCTTCTCCCAGTTAGGAAACTACATTGGAAGCCAAATTATCACAAGGTTGATTAGTAAATATGAAAATCTAGTCAGCCATCTGAGTTTGAGCATTTTTTACCTTTGGGCACTGAGGAGCCAATCTCCATAACAGGTTTATATTTCTCAGCCAGCCAGCCCTTGAATGGCAACGACATTCACTTGCCTATTTTTGTGCTGCATAATACAAAACTGATGATATATTTTTTTCTTTAGATACCTTAATACCTTCTGTGACATCTAGCTGTGACTGGTGATCAAGAGAGAGTTCCACTAAGGGGACTACACATTTCTTATCTGATACTTTATTAGCTTTATAGCTTATCTATTCAATAATTTTAGAAGCAGGTTAATATGCAATTAACCAAATTTATTAATTAACAAAAACTTATTCCAGTTATTTTTTTCAACTAATTATTCAATGAACATGTATGTAAGCATATTCAGTGACCATATTTTTCATGTGAAAGTAGTATATGGAATATATAAGTGGTTATATAGTAATATGATATATATCAATGAGCATATAGCCCCTTATATATTCAATGTATGAAAAATCTTTGAATATAGCTTCATTTAATGTGATGATGTTTTAATTTATATTAATTTATTTCTCATCCTTTTAGTCATTTTCTATTTTGTCAACAAATTAGCAGACCTACTTTACTAACTTGAATGAATTATCTGAATTTGCAGAATCGACAAAAACTGAAAACTTAAAAGATGTTTATAGCAATTATGTGATATGTTAGTTTTAAAAGTTTTTATTTGGTTTTTATAGCAGTACTTTGAGATGCTTAGTATCTCTGCCCTAGTTTCCCTGCTTCTACTACATAATTGTGTTTCAGTATAACTGACTTCCTTTGTAATACTCTGTTCATTTTATGCACTTAAAAATATTCTAAAATCTTCATAGTTTTTACCATATTGTCAAGAATCCATGGCATAATAAAGGTGAAGAAACCCTGAGTAAGTAAGGGAGAAGATGGAAAAGGAAGAGGAAACCTTTGCAGGGCAAAATCAGAGACAGGATTCACCATATAAAACAATTTGAGTCCTGTACAAGGCAAATGGAAGGGTAGAGAGAAAGAGAACTAAGGACAGAGGTTTTTTGTTTTTTTTTTCAGTTTTTTTTTTAAGATTTATTTATTTATTTATACAAGCCCTGGGTACAGTCACAAGCGCGGGAGGGTGAGAGAATTCACCAGAGCCAGAGCGGGGAGCAGAACAGGCAGAAGGACCCAAGTATACTGCTGAGGGATGGGCGGCAGGAGAAGTACACTGCTGAGGGGAGCAGCGGGCGGCAGGAGAGGTCTGCGCGCCATGTGGGACCCTCCTCTGGTGGCCGGGGAGCAGCCGGGGATCAAACTGGTGCTGCAAAGGCCGAGGGCAGCTTCTCAACCCAGTGCTCAACTGCTGCGCAACCAGGGAAGCCCAGGACAGAGTTTTAAGGGCCTGAAATCCCAAAGTTTTATCTCCTTGTGCCCCCCATATCTATTAACTTATTTTTGACAAATGGGTTATTTTGATAAATTTGTGAATTGTTGTTTTGACAAATTGATCCTAGAACAAACTGAACTAGAACCACCTTTTTGACTTGTTAGAGCACTTCCTTAAATAGATAGAATGAGGAGGTAAATTTTCTAGTCAGGTTACTCCATCAGTTTGTTTAAAAGGGAGTGTTTATATACTTTATGCTCACTAAGATAGTGATGATAATAATTAAAAAAAAAAGATAATAGCAAGTACGGTGAAGCAAGTGGAATCTTCACACATTGCTGGTGGGAATGTAAATTAGTGCAACCATAGTGGAAAACAGTATCGAAGTTCCTCAGGAAATTAAAAATAGAATTGCCATATGATCTAGCAGTTCTGCTTGTGACTATATACCCAGAAGTATTGAAAGCAAAGTCTAAAAGAGATATATGTATACCAATGTTCCTGGTACCATCAGTCACATTTTATGGCTAAAAAGTAGAAACAACCCAAGTGTCCATCAGTAGATGACTGGATACACAGAGTGTGGTTTATATGTACAAGGGAACATTATTCTACCTCAGGAAGGAGAAGGGAACTCTGATGCGTTCTAAAACATGAATGAACTTTAGAAACATTATGTTACGTGAAAGAGGCCAAGTCACAGAAATACAAATGTTGTGGATCTACTTATGAAAGTTATATAAAATAAAGAGACAAAAAGTGGAATGGTGGTGATCAGGGGTTGGGCAATGTAAGGAATATGGATATATTGTTTAGTGATTATGGTTTCAATTTTTCAAGATGAAAAGAGTTCTGGGGATGAATGGTGGTAATGGTTGCTAACAATGTGACAGTACTTAATACCATTGAAGCCTATGCTCAGAAATGGTTAAGACGGTAAACTTTATGTTATCCATATTTTACCACAAAACACTTTTTAAAAAAAAATATTTTTTTTAAAGATTTATTTATTTATACAAGAACCAGGGTACAGGCCAGATGTGCAGGAAGGTGAGAGGATTCACCAGAGACAGAGTGGGGAACAGAACAGGCAGAGTGACTGAAATACACTGCTGAGGGGAGCAGCGGGTGAGACAGGAAAGGTCCGCAGCTGGCGGGGATTGAACCGGCACTTTAGAGGCTGCGGACAGCTTCACAGCGCAGTGCTCAACTGCCTGTGCCACCAGGGAGGCCCAACAAAATTAATTTAAAAAGAAGACTAAAAAAATTGAATAGGCAACTTCCCCAGGCCTATTATCCTATTAATTTAGAAGTTCATTTAAAACTATGTGCTAAACGTAAAGAAAAACTATGTGTTTCACACCCACTAGGATAGTTATGACCAAAAAGACAGGTAATTTTTGTGCAAATATGAAGAAATTGAATCTTGATGAAGGAATGCAAAAATAGTACAACCACCTTGGAAAATAGTAGGCAGTTCCTCAAATGGTTAAAAATAGAGATACCATATCACCCAGCACTTCCACTCCTAGGTGTATACCCCAGAGAAATGAAAACATATCCCCACAAAATCTTGTACATGAGTGTTTATAGTAGCCTTACTCATAATGGCCAAAAAATGAAAATAACTCAAATATCCATCAACTGATGAATCAAATAGAATGCGGTGCATCATACCATTTTTATTTGGCATAAAAAAGAATTATGTATTGATATATGCTAACAATAGATGTCTCTTCAACACATTCTGCTAAATGAAATAAGCCAGTAGCAAAAGACCAGTTACTGTATGATTTCACTTACATGAAATCTGAAGAATAAGCAAATCTATATGAAAAGACAGTAGATTAGTGAGAGCCTAGTGCTAAACATCGGGGGTGAGAGAGTGAGGAATCACTACTAAGAGGTACTAGGTTTTGAGGGAGGTTATGAAAATATTCTAAATTTAGTTTTGGTTTTTTTTTTTACTTTCTCAGGCTAGCACCAAAATCCTTGCATTTTTCACTGTGCCACCCTATGTAACATTTTCTGGCTCAACATAAATATTGATCTACTTAATGGCAGGGAAATCACCTACGAGATCCCAAGATCTTTTTAGATCAATGGGTCTATGTTTTAGTGAATGACATAATACAGGAAATGAAATCATTTTCTTAACTGGTAATTGTTCTGATAAATAGAGGGCACTCCTTTGCAGGTGCTTCACTAGGATTCAAATGTCAAACACCATGATCACTTGCTGAATTAAACCTTGACTGAATTAAACTTCCTAAAGTTTATTTATACAAAAATAGGGACAATAGCCACATCCTAAGATGTTATAAGAACTTAATTATATGAACAAAACTCTCAGCACAGTAGTGATATGTAATGTGTTGAATAAATAAGTATAATTACTGTTTGTTTTGTTTTTATTATCATCATTATTTATAGTGAGTAATTTCTAATCAAATGCTTTTCCCTTTGGAGTAGTCAAAAGATCCTTTATGGCTGTTTACCATCAAGCCCTGTTGACATGTACTCTTCTTTTAATAGGTACAACACAAGAGATATGGTGCGATTCTTAAGCGTTTGCATTGTCAGGTCAACAAGCTTCAGTCAAATAGAAGACAGTGGCAATGGAACATTCAACAACTGGAAAAAACTGCAGCTGAACTAAGAAAACGTATTGGAATGAAAGATTAACATGGCCAAGGAGTAACGTAGAGCACAGGCTATGTCAACAAGGATTGTGGGACAGAATGTTGAGAAAATTCTTTGGATTCTTAACAACCACCATAACTATCAGAGGTCTACCTTAGTGATAGATTTGTTTCTCTTTTTTTGAGTCAGTCATATATTTGTTAAAGTGCCTTCCTACCCTGCAATTAATAGCAGTAGATAGATAACAGAAGTGCTAATACAATAGTGGAAGATACTGTATGACTCTTTTGAGTGTGTAACATTTCTTCTCATGACTGCCTACTTATAACATGTTGCCTTCAGTATTACATGAAGTAAAAATGCAGTAAATAAACACTTGAATTTATAATTATTTAAATTATCAATAATTTTTAAAAAAATTGTCTATTTCAAGCTTTATTTTTTTAACCACCACTTTCATAGTTGTCTGCAAATATTGACATTTTACAGCAATGTTTTCTCTTTTATCCAGAAGGTAGCATTCATTAGTCTCTGTTATTAAATAACCTTTTTAGAGTGTACAGCATAAAACTTTTGCTCAATTTTTGAAGAATTTTTGCAAATTCTTCAGTGATAAGAACAATACAAAATAGTAATATTCTGAAGCTAAAGTTGAAAATATCATGTAAGAAAAATATATGAACTCTCAAAAGAAGAGTGTTTACCGGTATAGACTAATGCATTTTTTTTTTAATTAAAAGGTTCACGACAACCAATCAAAATTTAATTTGTCCCTTTTATGGTAAAAAGGTCTTCTCATCACTACACTGAGTACAATTTTTAAAAGCAGAGATAAAATATTAACTATGGAAGGTGTCATTTTAAAATATTCACTTTTAGGATTTAAGTACTTCAGCACAACAACATCAAAAACGCATTGCAAGTACATTTTCTCCTCACTTTTATATGTATCTGAAATTTGGGAAGAGTTTAGCTGATATAAAACTGACAATAATGTTGTTGTGTTTAACAGTAATAGTCTTACAAGTTATGACTTATGACTAATAACTTCAAATGGCTTTTGCTGTAACACAATAAGCTTTGGTACATGACTCAGAAATGCAGCTAAGAATAAAAACAGATTAGCCTCAGATTGTAGAAAGAACCCACTATGCTCAGCTGATAATAAGCCTGAACCAAATGCGGATTACATAAAAATATTTAAATGTACTTTTAGTATTTAAAATATTCTACTTACAGTTATACTTTGTAATTTCATTAACATTTTCCAAAAGAAAGTTCTAGTTTTCTAAAATCTTCTATAGAGTATAATAGGTTTCAAAATATTTGTATTTATATTTTTTGAAGTTTATTTTAAATCAAGATATAAATAAAATAAGTTTAATCTGCTTAAGCTAATATTCATCATTTGAGTAATTTTCTTTTTTTTTTTTTAAACAGTTCTTTTTTTTTTTTTTTTTAAAGATTTATTGATTGATTGATTTATACATACAAGCACTGGGTACAGTCAGAAGTGCGGGAGGGTGAGAGAATTCACCAGAGCCAGAGCAGGGAGCAGAGCAGGCAGAAGGACCCAAGTACACTGCTGAGGGGAGCAGCGGGCGGCAGGAGAGGTCTGCGCGCCATGTGGGACCCTCCTCCAGTGGCCGGGGATCGAACCGGCGCTGCAGAGGCTGCGGGCAGCTTCGCCGCAACCCAGCACGCAACCACTGCGCCACCAGGGAGGCCCCATTTGAGTAATTTTCAATGTAGTTTTCTAAAGTATCCATGATGACAAAACATGTACCTATTTTTAATTTCATGGCAGTTGAAAGAATAATTTGAAATTATTTTTCATTCCTTTTTCTAGTCTTGAAAATCATTTCAGATAATGGGGGCTTTCAGATTAACCAAGAAGAATTAAAACTTGAGGTATCCTGCCTCCCTGATGGTGCAAGGGGTTAAGCACAGCACTGTGATGCTATCCACAGCCTCTGCAGTTGGATCAAGGCTGGCCAGGGAGCTATACACATGGCGCAGCAGACCTCTCCTGTCTTGCCTGCTGCTCCCCTCAGCAGTGTATTTCAGTCATTCTGCCTGTTCTGCTCCCCACTCTGTCTCTGGTGAATCCTCTCACCCCCCCACACCTCTGGCCTGTTCCCCAGTTCTTGTATGCATAAATAAATCTTAAAAAAAAAAACAACAACTGAGTATTCATAGCCTGATTATGTAGTTAGGGGATATGGCACTTCAGCATAACTCTAAAGTTAGAAATAATAATAAAATCTTTCCATAACTAACCCTAAATTAACTCTGAGCTCTTCTGCTTAATGGCCTTTCTCACATATGCTTTTGGTTTACATTGCAGTCTCTTTTGGGTAACCACTCAGTTCAGAATTCTCATTTCTTCTCCACATTTTCTTCTTTGAAGTGGTGTAAGTTCCTGAGACACTCTAATTGTTCTGTCATCATGGGAAGCTCCCTGGTCTGGGTGCTATTCTGTGAGCTCACTAGCCTCTGTAAAGGTAATCAGTCCATTATTCTTGTTCTTGAGCAAATTCTTTTGTCCAAGCTATATCTGCAGTTGTTTTCTGTAGTCAATTCATTTGTCCAATCACAAGACCTCTTCTAGTCCTATTTCATTCTCTTTTTCTACATATTAGCCAAATTTTACCTCATTGAGACTTGTGTTTTCTATTTAGTCGTTCTTCCACACTCTCATTTCTGGCATAAGATGAGTTCTCAAGACTCTTGGTAGTTTGGGGCACAGAAAATTTTTAGCTCTCAAAATGCACAGTCTTTGACAAAGGAAAGCTATGATTTCAAGAACATTATTTCAAATATTGGTGGACTTTTGAAAAAGCCTAATGAGAAGTTTAAAGCTGATGAAGGACTTTGTTACATCTCAGCAGTACTTCAGCCTGCTAGTTTCTATTACCTAAATGATCAGGAAAAAGGATAACTAGTGTAGAGTAAGGAAGCAGAGGGAAGAAAAAGGTATAAATATATCAAAATATTACTACATGTACAATCATTGGGCAAATTATGCTGACCAATGTAAAGACATTTGCATCTACTTTTTATTTAAATTTTATTTATTGAGGCAAAAATAAGTTGTAACACCACATACGTTTTACAGGTATAGCTTAATAACTCTGAAAATGTTTTACTATCCCATGTCCACCATCAAGGAAGCCATATCTTATCTGTGAAAATAACCAGGTAGCACACATTCAAGTCAGTCAAGTCAACCATCACAGACACAGTCATGGCAAAAGAAGTGATCTACATGCTCTCTGCTACATGCTATCTGCCTTGTTTAATGTTCAAAGAAGTTCTTTAGAAAGGAGAAAAATAATATAGATCAGAAACTTGGATCTACATAAAGTAAGGAAGAGCATCAAAAAAGGAATAAGTGAAGGTAAAATAACTTCCAGGCAATTGATCATGCTATTTTCCACTACAGATATGAAATAACAATGCTAATAATGGTAATATACTGAACAACTATGTTATGCCCTATTTGGCACTTTATATATATTATTTCATTTAATTCTCAGAATAATAGTTTAAGGTATATATAATTATCTCTGTTTTATAGATGGGAAAACTGAAACTTTTGCAGATTAAGTAACTTGCCTAAGATCTAGTTACACAGCTTGTGGAAGGCAGAGTTGAAATTCAAAGCCCTATTCTTTTGGAAACAGCACTGCAAGAAATGATGAGAAGGGTAATTCTCAAATTTATTATAAATTAATAACTTCTAAATTTAATAATTTTTGTATCAATGATTATAATATAAAATTAATCAAAGTTAGAAATTTTAATGTTTAAAAAACAAGTTCTGTGTGTAAGACACTTGGAAATCCTAATAAGAAACTAAAAGCTGAATATACAAACACATGACAACTCTTCTTGGATCCCTTAGAAAGGTGAGAACACGGAGCAAACTGCTGCTCCCGGAATAAGAGAGACAGCCAGCCAAAAACAGGGAGTCGTCAATAACCAGAGATCCTCATGTAGAAATGACCGTGGGAACCAGTGCCAGGGTAGGAAAACCTGAACTGTGATTAATGAATTTTTGAAAGTTTGGTGTGGACTTTTTTTTTTTTTTAAAGATTTATTTATTTATTTATACAAGCTCTGGTATAGTCAGAAGCGCAGGAGGGTGAGAGAATTCACCAGAGCCAGAGTGGGGAGCAGAACAGGCCGACTGATGAAGTATACTGCTGAGGGGAGCAGCAGGAGGCAGGAGAGGTCTGTCACGCCATGTGGGACCCTCGCCTGTGGCCGGGGATGAACCAGTGCTGCAGAGGCTGCGGGCAGCTTCGCAGCCCAGCGCTCAACTGCTGCACCACCGGTGAGGCCCTTGGGTGGACATTTTTGAGAGTTAAAAATTCCATGGGGCGTTTGCAATTGTATGGGGGAATATAAAAATAAAATTTAATATTTAAAAAAAAAAAAAAGCCTTAGAACATTAAAACTTGTATGGCCACATCAAAAAAAAAAAAAAAATTCCATGGAAACCAGTCATGGAGGGGGGCACAATATTGAGATTTACCTCCAGATATGAATTACATTTTTCTTCTCCTCAGAAACCATGCAAGCAGAAAGAATGGAGTGAAATATTTAAAGGTGTTAAGAGAAAAAAATCCCACCAACCTAGATTTCTGTATGCTAGGAAATTATCCTTCACAAATGAAGGAGAAAACAAGATTTTTCAGATAAACTGAAGGACACTGTTGCCAGTAAACCTGCCTTGTTTAATGTTAAAAGAAGTTCTTTGGAGAGAAGAAAAACAGTATGGATCAGAAACTTGGATTTACATAAAGTAAGGAAGAACATCAAAAAAGGAGTAAGTGAAGGTAAAATAACTTTCATTTTTCTCATTCTTAATTAATCTATCAGATAGTTTGCCCAAAATAATAATAATAGCAACAATATTTGATTATGTATCCGTACGGAATTATCTATGGAGATAATAAAAAGGTCAGTGTTTGCCAAAGTTCTGCAGGAGTGTTGGAGAAGAGATGAATAGACAGAGCACAGGAAATTTTTAGCACATTGAAAAGTATTCTGTATGATATTATAATCATGTCACTATATAGGTGCTCCAATTCGTAGAATTGACACCAAGAGTTAACCTTAAGGTAAACTGTGGACTTTGAGTGATTATGGTATGTCAGTGTAGGTTCACCCTTGCTAAAAAACAGACAAACAAACAAACAAAAAATGCTACTGGTGAATGATATTAATAATCACGGAGGTTATGCATGTATAAGGATAAGGGGGTATATGAGAGATCTCTGTACCTTCCTCTCAATTTTGTTGTAAATGCACAAGTTTTTAAAAAAATTATTTTAAAAAGCATACATTGTTAACACTACATATGGTTCAGTGTCAGTAAAACATTTTGACTAAGGAAAATGAAACATCTTTTTATAAAAATTGCTTTGGAACCTTTAAAATTTCACATAGGCTATTGCAATTAAAACTCAAAATTCCCACACATTTTCAATGAACATGGACTCCATTGCTCACCATAAAAATTATTAAGGCCTATATGAATGTCATGGAGATTTGGGACTATTTTTTGGTGGTGGGAGTCCATAGATTTGGAAGGTCTTATAGTTTTTTTGAAAATAATTTGATTTGGGGCCTCCCCGGTGGCGCAGCGGTTGAGCGCTGGGTTGCGAAGCTGCCCGCAGCCTTTGCAGCGCTGGTTCGATCCCCGGCTGCTCCCCGGCCACCGGAGGAGGGTCCCACATGGCGCGTAGATCTCTCCTGCCGCCCGCTGCTCCCCTCAGCAGTGTACTTAGGTCCTTCTGCCTGCTCTGCTCCCCGCTCTGGCTCTGGTGAATTCTCTCACCCTCCCGCGCTTCTGACTGTACCCAGTGCATGTATTAAACAAAACAAACAAACAAACAAATAAATAAATAAATAACATGCCTCTATAAAAAATAAATAAATAAATTTAAAAAAAAAGAAAATAATTTGATTTGTTAGCTGTTCATATTTTCAATATTATAAATACTTCATTTTTTGTTAAGCTAATGATTATGAAAGTCAATGATCAGAATGTAAAACAAAAGCAATCTGTGCTATATTTGTTTATTTGAATTTATAATGTATCTCTAAACAAGAGATTTTTTTCTTTTCTGGTAAATTTTGCAGCATAAGAAATAGATCTTCATTATCATATTAGCAACCATGTAACTGTTTTCCCTGAATGTTACTAAACTATGAGCAAAATCAGGAAAAACAAAATGAAACAGATACTAATAGGTTG